CTTCTCCAACACACTTGCCGGCCCTCCTCGGCCCTCCTTGGCTCTGGTGTGGTTCATCGGGCTAGAAGGTCACGAAAATAGGAGTGGAAGCACCTCGATTTCGTAAGCGCATACGTTTTCGAGCTTCTTGCGTGCCTGGCATGCTTTGCGCGGTATGGCGCATGTTTCGAACTAACTTGCTGGAGGCTGGGGACAGCCCGCGAACATAAATTCAATTTACTGACATCTCCATTCGCAGGCTTCGGCTTGCCACCGGAGCTGCTGTAAGACCCTATCAGAGTAGGTAAGCCACTGCAGGCCCAGTTGGTGATTTCATTCGGGTTTGGTGATTTGGGGGTTGGTGCTCTGTACGTCTGAGGAGGCAATGAGTAGTCTTCTGCCGATGGTTGAGGAATTTTGGACTGTGTCCTCGGCTGATCTCTATCCTGACTCATGAGCTGTGTTCCATTTGCGCTCTTCTTCACCGCAGTTGCTTTCAGCCTGCGCAGACACACAAATTTGGACGCATTTGCGGTGCTGTCAGGCGACTTGTGGTTTCAGGCGTGCCCAATGAGTTTGCCCGCGGGGCCATTTCTAACAAACCCTGAGACTGACAGGACATGACCTTCCACTCCTCGCTGTCAGTCAGTCAGGTGGAACCTCCATGACTGCCATGCAAAACCAGCTTGAGTTCCTAATAGGTCGGCTTAGCCCTGCGTAAGGGCACTTGTTTGGGGTTGAGGGCGCTGGGCCTGGGCCGGAGCTAAGGACGCCAAGGGCTGGTGATGGACTTGCTTTCCCATACGTTTGCTAGTCCATATCATTGCTGTACGAGTCTAACGCGTCATTGCGCGTGGACCTTTACATGCACGTGCACATTTGCATGCGGGTGGATTTTCGAGGATGTGCGCATGCGCGTGGACACGCACGCGTACCTGGTGCGGAATACTACTAATTAAGTATGCAGCGCCACACCACTCTGCGCGGACAGCCACCCGCTATCATAATTTTTCATAATTTGACCTGGACCTTCATAATTTTTGATCCGGACCCCCATCATAGTTTATCATAATTTTGATTTGGCCCTCCAGCCCAGACCTATCATAGTTCATCATAATTTTGATCCGAGAGGCCCCCAGCCATCATAATTTATCATAATTTTGATTTGGCCCTTGCTGGGCCAGCCCAGACCTATTATAGCTTTCATAATTTTGATCTGGACCGAAATGGACCAGGACCCCAGCCATCATAATTTACCATAATTTTGATTTGGCCCTTGCCGGCCAGCCCAGACCTATCATAGTGATCCGGACCCTGATGAACCAGGCCTCCAGCCAATTTTGATTTGGCCCTTGCTGGGCCATCCCAAGCCTATCATAGTTTATCATAATTTTGATCCGGATGGACCAGGCTTCCAGCCATCATAATTCATTAAGGCCAGCCCAGACCTATCAGAGTTTATCACAATTTTGCTCCGGACGGTCCACAGGCCCCAGCCACATAATTTTGATTTGGCCCTTGCTGGGCCAGCCCAGCCATCATAATTATCATAATTTTGATTTGGCCCTTGCTGGGCCAGCCCGGACCTATCATAGTTTATCATAATTTGTCATAATTTTGATTTGGCCCTTGCTGGGCCAGCCCAGACCTATCATAGTTTATCATAATTTTGCTCTGGGCCATCCTTTTTCATGATCATTTTGATTTGGCCCTTGCTGGGCCAGCCCAGCCATCATAATTATCATAATTTTGATTTGGCCCTTGCTGGGCCAGCCCGGACCTATCATAGTTTATCATAATTTTGATCCGGACCCTGATGGACCAGGCCCCCAGCCATCATAATTTGTCATAATTTTGATTTGGCCCTTGCTGGGCCAGCCCAGACCTATCATAGTTTATCATAATTTTGCTCTGGGCCATCATAATTCATGATAATTTTGATTTAGCCCTTGCTGGGCCAGCATCATAGAGTTTATCATAATTTTGTGGACCAGGCCTCCAGCCATCATAATTTATCATAATTTTGATTTGGCCCTTGCTGGGCCAGCCCAGACCTATCATAGTTCATCATAATTTTCATCTGGACCCTAGACTATCATAGTTTATCATAATTTTCATCCGGACCCTGATGAACCAGGCCCCATCGTAATTCATGATTTGGCCCCTGATGGACCAGGCCCCCAGCCATCATATCATAATTTTGATTGGGCCCCTGATGGACCAGGCCCCCAGCCAACATAATTCACCATAGCTTCTTGGTGGTGGCATCTTCCTTTTGGCATTTGCTGGCCGCTTTGGCGAGGGTTCCATCGACCTCAAGCTTACCAGGGCCTACGCGAAGTTTGCGAACTTCTGCAAAACATAAAAGAAGGGCACGAATGTTGATGACTTCTCCTTCAAAACTTTCAAGATCACCGGGCTGCTTTTCTTAACAACTGCCTCAGAGGCCAGCAGCTTTAACCTTAAGGAACTGACATGCCCCAAACTTGACCCTAGGTTTTGATTTGGCCCTTTGCGGGCTATCATAATTTCTCATAATTCTGATTCGGCCTCTGATGAAACATATTTTGGTAAATTGCGATGGCTCGCCAGGCTGGGTAGGCTGGCCCACCAGGCTAGACTGCGATGGGCGGCGTGCAGCCGCGCCGTGGCCCTTTGCGTCACCTGGCATCGCTGGCAGGCGGGCAGGGGCGGGGGGGAATCCTTGACGCACTTTTTCGGGCAATGTGGCGGTCAGTGAAAGAGGGAAACATATGAAGCGTTTCAGCCGCTGATCATACGTGGTCTACTACCACTTCACACCACGCACTGACAATGCGCTGGGACTTTGAGGCCTCTCAGCTGCGCAAGCGACAAGTCTGATTCCAGCTCCGACTGAGCGGAGAGCGGATCACTGCCACATGGCACATCGAGATCCAAGAGATCTCCAGAATCTCAACTGTCTAGGACTATGGCAACGAGCAACTAAGCAAGGGAAATGTCATTGCGGTCGAAGTTTCAACGCTGCTGCTCAGCCCTGAAATGTGCTAACAACAATGGTGAGCTCATGGCCTAGAGACTGGGCCCTGCGGTCCTTGCTTAGGAGTCCTCTTTCGCAACCGTGCGTAATGTCAGATTCCTCTCGCTAAGCGAACCTTAATTAAGAACCTCCCAGCTAGAGGCCAGACTGTTCTTGAACATAAATTCAGCTTCTTCTGGGCAGGGCAAAAGTAACTAGAAAGTGAATTTAGCTTATGGCCGCCTTTGTTTCAACCTGAGCTTATCAAGCTTTGGCCCTCTTTGGAGACTGAGGAAGCCCCTTGCCTGTGGGAACTGACGATTCATCCTGGACAATGATTCAAAGTTCGTGTAGCTCAACACAAGCTCAATCAGACTCACTGACCGCGGGAAGATTGCTTGGAGAGATCGCTCTCAATTTGCCGCGTGTGCAGGAAGATTGTGTGGCCAAGCTTGGAACATATGCTCCTGAAATTTGGGGCCCAGACATTGAACACTGCAAAGCAATGAGTGAGGTTGTCATGTTGCTGGTCATTTCCGTTGTTTTTGTTGCCCAACGTCAGCATAGGCTGGGGCATGTTGATTCTGCGAAAATTGCACCGATGGGTCACAAGCTGTCATGATGAGGCACTCATGCTGCGTTGCCCCAGGCGAGAGGATGCCGGTGAAAACATTGGCCCAGGCAGGCGAGCTATCTTGGTGAGGATGCCGGTGCACACATTGGCCCAGGCAGGTGATTTATCCCGGCGAGGATGCCGGTGAAAACATTGGCCCAGGCAGGTTGCCCAAATTGTTCAGCTGTGACCAATGTGACTGTCCGCCCCTGACCCCTACGAACCGCCTGGCCAGGCCAGCCCGCGCCGCACTGGCGCGCGCACGCTGGCTATGATGGCACGGGCCCACCACCAGGAGCCAAATCAAAAGCCCCTAGCACGCAAGCAGCACACTTTTAGGCGAAACCACAGCAACAGTTCGGACGCAGCTTGCCAGGACCTGGGACCATCATAACACCGGCCAGGGCCTGGGTGAGCAGAATTTTCAAAGCCAACTTGACACCAAAAAAATCGGTTGCCCAAAGCCTGCTGCGCCACGATTGCAGACAAGGGGCCTTGGATTGCAGGCGCAAGACAGCGAGTCCGAGGCCAGCTCGCGCAAGGTTGGGCTTGTCTATGTTAGCTAGGCTGAGCAAGTGAAATCATGGTCTGACATGAAGTGACCAAAAGTGCAGGACATGCTTGCAGCCCCCTGCGTTTTTCAGCCCAAGGCCGACCCAATCTCCCTGTGCCCACGCCCACCAAAACATGGCCGACCGGCGGCTCGCCAAGAAGCTTTCGCCAAGGACGGGCTGCAGCTGCGTGGAGTTCTGCGTGGAGCCACGACGTTGCTTGCAACGCTGTTTGGATTTGGCCAGCTGAGTCTCCAAAGCATCCAGCTCATCAGATGCAAGAGCCACGGGCAAAGCGTCTGACTCTGCCGATGGGTCTCTCTCCGCTTTGGTTGAGCAAGATCTCTGCCAAGTTTTTGCCGCTTGGCGGCAGGCACAAATGCTTTTTGCCAGCATTTGCAACCAACGTTGGCCATGCGTCAATCTGCGCGCTAGTGTGTTCGTGGGCGCGCAAGCCGTTCATTCATTCATTCATTCATTCATTCATTCATTCATTCATTCATTCATTCATTCATTCATTCATTCATTCATTCATTCATTCATTCATTCATTCACTCATTCATTCATTCATTCATTCATTCATTCATTCATTCATTCACATTCATTCCATTCATTCATTCACTCATTCACTCATTCACTCATTCATCATTCATACATACTCATTCACTCATTCATTTATACATACATACATACATACATACATACATACATACATACATACATACATACATACACACATACATACATACATATATGTCAGATGGCAAACACGGTTGCACATATATTATTCTCGCGTATACGTAGATACATGTAAATGCACATATACTCCTTGGGAGCCAAAAGGCACGAGTGCCGTGAGGATACCTTCAACATCTCTACCGCCGCGGGGCTACTGGCGGCCGGCGCAGGTGCCGGATCCTCGGGCTCGTCCGTGTTTTTGAGGTAAAATGGTGGGAATGGTCGTTTTCTTGGTGGCTTCCAGCCATCCGGTTCCTTAGCTTTTTAGCCTTTTAGTGTTTAGTGGGGATTTCCCGTTCTTTTCAACCTTCGCTCTTTTCAAAACGCGGCTGTTTCCCATGCGTATTTGATGGTTGCCTGAAAAGAAGGATCCCTGGAAAGAATGGGGAAGGTACCCCTAGACCTTTTGGTTCCCCTTGAACATGACTAAAAGAAGGGCACCCGAAAATCATTTCGTGCCTGGAATGATTCGATTCCTCTGTAAATACAAACGCTATGATTTCAACCATAGGTTTCATTTTGTGGTGCGAAACAGGAAACCAAAAGGACATCAGCCAACTACACTGTTGGGTTCCCTTGGAGAAACACCCGTGTCTTTCTGCGGAAGCCCTGTTGGGGCAAGGAAAACCCAAGAAACAAAGGAAACCAAAGGGCAACCGACTTCACTTTTGGTCTGCAACATTCATTCGCACCACTACATGAAACCTGAAACCATTGCTCGTTGGTATTTACAGGGGAGTCTGAACGGTTTTTTGCGAAATGGATGTCGCAACCATCAGTATGTTGAAGCTCGATGACTCGGAGCCGCCGAAGCTTCGAATGGGTTCTCGGTATACCGGTGAGCGCTTCGATGTGACGAGTTCGGCAGAATCCCGTCTTTCTTGGCGCAGCAAAAGGCTCGTTGGTGCTCAGGGAAAGACCTAACCTAGGCATTCCCTTGAAGGGATGGTTTGTAGGGGTCATTCCCTTATTCCCTGCTGAGAACCAGCGAGAAAAGGGGCTCACAGAAAGCCAGATTTTCTGACCCTGTTCCATATTTAGTCTACTCTGGTAAAAGAACGTATTTTTGTAGGAGACCCTAGGTTTGGCAATGTTGGGGACTGAGGCAGATCAATTAGAGGTCATCAGTTAAGGGGATTCAACAGGATCCCTTACAATATACATGTGTGCGAGTCAAAGATCACCTTGGCCAGCTGGTTTAGAGATTCCAGTGGCTTTGGGATGTATCGTGTACAGGCCTTGTTTCATAGGGGTGTGTTGTAGGCTTCAGTAGTTTTTGTGACTACCATGGGACAACATCTCCTTTTTGGGTCCACATGCTACGCCCCTCCTGGAAATCTGGGCTTTCCAAAACACTGGGATTCCCGGAGCAGCTAAGAGCAGGGATGATGGGTTCCACTCATACTCTCTAAGATGGTCTCATAGGGTGTCGTCCATCCGAACTGCTGCGTTGACTGGACTTGCTTCATCCACAAGCAAACAATGGTTTTCATCTAACCCCCAAGGCTACGGAAGATGTCGACGTGTTTTCTTGCTGGTTTGTTGGCTTGGGAAATGCACCAGAAAGGGATCGCCTGAAAGGAACGACAATCGAAGTTTACAGGGTTTATTCCCCCATGCAGCGTGTTTTCGCCACCCCCAAACCAGTACCGGTTGCTTGGTTTTATCAGAATTCCAAAAGGTCGCTTATTTCCCACACGAATGTGCAGAGAGCCTGGCCCACAGAAATCCAAGCTGCTCTTCGCCAATTGCCCTGAATCCCCCAGGCTGACCGGGTGCAAACGTCACATGTCCTATCGGTCAGAACGTCCGTGGTCTATACTCCATTTGGGAGGGACAGCAGGGGACCTCACTAAATCTCCCAGAAAATTCAGGGGCTCACTGATTTTATCACGCCCTCTCAGGAAACAACTGATTTTGGCCCTTGCCCATGTTAGGAAACTCGGGTGGGCGTCTCCGACCCCCTGCCCTGCAAAGTTGCCAGTTCACTAGGTAGGGAACCAACCGTTTTTGCATCTAGTGTGAGGTCAGTTCAAGTGCGTATCTGCAAGACAACTACTCTCACCTGTGAAAGTCGTTGCGTTTGGTTTTGGCAGCATGTTTTTCGTGTAATACGCACACGAAGCGCATCCGGTAGGGTCGTTGCAACTCCGTGTGCCAGTGGCGTTTGGTTTAGCATGTTTTCAAGAGACAATTGCTGCGTGATATTGAGGTCATTTTTGTAGAGAAATACATGCTGAACGTGGTCCCCTGAGATGGTTTCATTGATCAAGTTGAGGTCTTTTGGGTAGGCCGAACGCACTGGCACACATGGAAAACACCTTCCCTCGATCGCGGTTTGTGTTGGTGATGTTGAGGCATTTTGGGTGGCCAATCGCATTGGCACACGCCTGAAAAAACACTTACTGGGTCCTTGTGGTTACACGCCCCGCAAGCCATGATCTCGCGCCGCAAGCAGTGTGCCAGTGGGGAAAGCTATTTAGGGTCATGATCATGCTGTCTTTTATGATGTGTGGCATGAAGCCATTTTGAATCAAATCGCATGGGTACACTCGTTTCACTTAGATGTTGCTGACGATGCAAGTGCTACCCCAGCCCCCCACCGTACACAAAGCCAAGTGTCTGGTGTGCCATGGGGGACCGGATACTTTGAGGAGTGTTTGGTGAAGGGGCGCTGTTGCACGTTGAGGCCCACTCCCGTCACAAAACGCAATGGCACACTGCCTCCGGCCAAGATAATGAAAAGATTCAGTCAACTAACACATGGGAGTCTGGTTCCTTGTGTTGTTCAGCTGTGTGCCAGTAGGATTCGAGGTGATAGAAGTTGCAGGCTTAGATGTTGCTGGCGACGCAAGTGCTACCCCAGCCCCCCACTGTACACAAAGCCAAGTGTCTGGTGTGCCATGGGGAGGCGGATACTTTGAGGAGTGTTTGGCGAAGGTGCGCTGTTGAATGTTGAGGCCCACTCCCATCACAAAACGCAATGGCACACTGCCTCTGGCCAAGATAATGAGAAGGTTCAGTCAACTAACACATGAATCGCATTGGCACACGCAGTCATCCTCAACAAGTGCTTGTAATACGTGTTAGGCTAAGGCCGACAGTCTGCTTAACACATCAATTGGTTTCAACGGCCTGCTTTTCAGGCTGAGGCCTAGGTGGGTTGCGGCTGCACGTTTTCTTTCTTTTCGGACTCGTTTTAGACTCGTTTTTGGACTCGTTTTTTTCCTGGGTAAACTTGCCAAAAACTTAACACAAGGCACCTCCTACTACTGCTGCTACTACTACTACTACCACCACGACTACTACTACTACTACTGCTACTACTACTACTACTACTACTACTGCTACTACTACTACTACTACTACTACTACTACTACTACTACTACTACTACTACTACTACTACTACTACTACTACTACTACTACTACTACTACTACTACTACTACTACTACTACTACTACTACTACTACTACTACTACTACTACTACTACTACTACTACTACTACTACTACTACTACTACTACTACTACTACTACTACTACTACTGTTTAAACACTGCTCGGTTGCGGTTGGTTCTGCGATGTGCCATGGGGGTTGCTTGTATTTGGCGCTTCGAGAAATGTGTTCAAGATGTGTTTGGTTGCTTTTGGGTATGCTTGTGCCATGGGGATTGCCTTCGTACTAGCACACGAACTTGTTTTTGCAAGACTTGTTTCGATGTTGTTGAGCATGCGATGCGCCATGGGGATTGCCTTCTTTTTGGCGAGCAAGCATACATAGTCAAGCAACATTTCAGTCCCAACTAGTATGTGATGTGCCATGCTGGTTGCCTTCTTACTCATACTTAAACATGTATGCTTAAAATGCGATTAAGCGGCTTGTAATATGCGATGTGCCATGGGGATCGCGTCCGTAGTGGCGCTCAGACAAAACAGTCTTAGGAGACACATTGCGGTTGATTATGCAATGTGCCATGGGGGTTGCCTTCACTTCTGTGCTTCGAATAGATGTTTTCAAGATGCATTTGGTTGCCTTTGGGTATGCATGTGCCATGGGGATTGCCTTCATACTAGCGCAAGAACTTGTTTTTGCAAAAATTGTTTCGGTGTTGTTGAGCATGCGATGTGCCATGGGGATTGCCTTCTTTTTGGCGTGCAAACACACATAGTCAAGCAACATCTTGGTCCCAACTGGTATGCGATGTGCCATGGGGATTGCCTTCTTACTCGTACTTAAACGTGTATGCTTAAAATGCGTTTAAGTGCTTTGTAATATGCGATGTGCCATGGGGATTGCGTCCGTAGTGGTACTCAAACAAATCAGTTTTAGGAGACACTTGGGCGCCGTGTGCCAGTGGGGAAGGCTCAGTTGCAAGGACCCTGCCGGGACTATCCGTGGCGTTGTTTTTACTGGCAGGCTGCGGACGTTCGAGCAAAACACGAAAAATGCAAGGACTTTCGCGGTTGGGTGTAGCCTCCCATCTTTTACCATGACCCTGACTGCGGGGGCCTGGAAGACCATTGTCCTCTTCAAGGGATTCCATTGTTTTGGACGGCAGGGTAAATGGAATCACTGGAATCATGTCTTTTTGATTCTCCTTAAAGTATTCAGAGGGGTGGGAGCCTCCTAAGTTACCCACTATACAAGCAAATGGAATCATTGAATGGGCTATTGCTGTTCTTTTTGGTTGGGACGTGGACTCGCTGAGGGAACCCGCATAGAAAATGACATCACTGGGCTTGACCAGGTCCCAGCGGCCATAAAATAAGCGGTTCGGGTGAATGCGCAAGGGTTGTGTCCTGGTTTTGGTGAGAGAAGCATCCAGTGAATCTGAAGGAACCTAATTAAGCAGCTCACTTCCGATCCAGTGGATTGGCCAAATAAGGAATTGTGGAGTTCGGGATGAATCTATGTGGATTGGGGGGGTTTCCGTGAAGTGTGAAGCTGGATCGGGGCAGTGAGTCCAGATCGGTTCTGGGTGTGTGGCAGCAGAGAAAGGTGATGAAGCTATACTCTTTGAAAGTTGGAGCCACTTGCTGTTTCAGCATGCAAATCGTTGTTTCAATGTTTCAGGGCCGAACATCATTGAAGATGCTCAAAATGGCCAACTGCAAAGGCTCGGATATGTTTCAGGTGATTTGACTGCATGGCGGAGGAAGATTCATTGTGTCTTCAGTCACGAAAGTGCTTCTTTCTACGGGCCGCTTGATGAAGAACGGTTGGACGTTTCAGAAAAGCAGTGGGGAACATCAAGAAGCTTGTCAAGCTGGATGGATGGTGTTTTCCGATGGCAGCAATGAGATTTGAGCTTTATTTTGCTGAAAACAGCTTGGTTAATCATAGATCAATTCGTTTTTTTTTGTTGTTTTTTTCTCCTAGTTTACGGCGAGCTGTATTCGCATATGCAATGCAATGCATATACGGCGATGTCTGTATATATATATATATATATGCATATACATATACATGTATATGCGTGTATTTATATATGCACATACATGTACATATATGTATATATATATATATATATGTATATGCATATATATATATATATATCTATATATATATATATATATGTACCAGTCCCTGGGCCACGTACCCCCCTCCCCCCACTCCCCCGCATCATCCGCATCTTGGGGATGATGCTGGCAATGCTGGGGATGCTGTCCAGTACCGTGTGAGCCCTGCAGCTTCGGTCCCAGACTCCCCCTTTCACCCCGTGAACCAACACCCCCGCACCTCTCGCAACATCCTACCCTAAACCAAACCACCCTGCAACCCCTCCTTAACCCCAACCCTAAGCCTAAATCAACCCAAACCCCAAACCCACCCGAAACCCACCGCAAACCAACCCTGAACCAACCCTGAACCAACCCTAAACCAACCCACCAAGCCTAAACCAACTCCGAACCACACCCCAACCACCCCCACCCAACCACCCCCCACCCCACCACCCCACCACCCACCCCACCCCCACAGGGGGGGGGGGGGCACGGCCTGGAACATATATATATATATATATATATATAGCGTATGAGTGTGAATTCAGATACCTGACGTTTGTGCTCACGCCCACCGACAAAAGTAGCGTGAGGTTCGGATCGTGAAGCACGGGAACCGTGCGGCTTCCTCCAAGAGCGGGGCCGCGGATATCTTGGAGGCCCGCTATGCTATGCTCGCTTGCTGCAGTTCTCAAAATCGACCCGCTTTGGCAGGGCTCCTTAAATGATACATTTTGCCCATTTGAAACATAGCCTTTTCCACCAAAATAAAGGGCAACCACCATTTACAAGGCAATGTTCAGGTGTATAATGCAAGGATCCCTGTTTGGTTGGCATGGGAGATTCTCAGAGGGTATCCTTTTCATTACTAAAAGGGAAGCCAAGGAGAAAGCCAAGCATTTGTTGGGGTTTCCTACTTGGGTGTCACTGTGAGTTTTTTTGAGGATGCATTTGTTTGGTGTGAAAGGCGACCGGAGATTCGGCGAATCGCTCGTAGGTTTATCTTTTTCCCCTGTCTGATGGGGTTTCATTTTTCGTACACCCGCTATGGGGCGAAGGAGTGCTTGCTTGTTGCTTGCGACTAGGCGAAGGCTTCCGCATGAACGCCTAGATTTCCGGACCCCTACATGTAGGACCCAGTCTTGTTTTGAAGGACTGCTAAATTTAACCCATGGGTGCATGTGGATCGCGTAGATGGGTATGTGTCAAAACAGGCTGGTGTTCCCTTCAGTGATGAATCCCAACTAAAATGGGACACCCTGCAGGAGGGGTGGGATGGGATTTGGTCCTTTTCTGTTGTCTTTCTCGTTTTGGGCCCGAAAGTTGCGGTTTGCCTTTTGGCTTCCCCAAGCAACCCTCTCACAAATTAACATGGAACCTGACGTTTTGGGGTGCTGCATTTCCCTGCGTCAGGTTCCATGTGAATTGGTGGGAGGGTAAAGAAGCGGAGCAGAGAAGGCAGCGCCAGATCTCTGTTCAGCCGCCTTAGGCCTTGGGCGCTCGACTGGAGCTGACGCCGGCAGAGGCGGGGAGGCAATTCGACTGATTCGGAGCCAGGGGAGTCCTGTGGACGAAATTCGTTCGCACCGAAATCGAATTGAAACCACGGGAAAGCGTTGTTTGTTGGTATTTGCAGAATCGAATCATGCCAGGGCTTCTTAGGTGGTGTGAAATGGGTTTCGTCACAGTAGGAGTGATATGGGCCGTGGGCCGTGGGCCCGTAGTCACTTGTGGTCACTAGGATTTGGTTCTGAATCAGTCTATAAGTCAGCTTGGCCCGTTTGGATGTGACATCCCCCCGAAATAATTCGAGCAAAATTCAGAGTGGTGTTGAAATGAAAGCCAGAAGAACGCCAGGAACTTTTCGGGGGGCTGCGGCTGCAAATCCTAGGCTAGGAACACCGTGGCAATTTGGCTGAGTGCCCCTTGGGAAGTTCAGTGCTCCAACTCTGAGACCAGAACCAGTGAATCAACGGAATCTGACTGTTTGGGTTTCTCAGTTTTGATCCCTTTGTCAGGTGCCAAAAAGGCGGTCAGATTGTTCTTCCATGTGTTTTGTTGCAAGTGTTTTGTGCTTTCTCATTCGGTTTTCCAGTTTGGCACCTGTGCTTAACCATTATTTCCAGGTCGTTTCCCGGCTTTTGGGCCCGCTCCATGTCTGGAGATGGTGCTGCAGACAGGGGTAGGTCATTTGTTGTTGGCCAGGACGCTGTCCATGAGTCATGCTACCTGCCTTCATTTCAACACATTGGAGACATATTGCAGGGCTTATAAAACTACGCCTGCCCATACACACCACCCCCAACCACACCTCCAGTTTTGGTCGTGTGTCTTGCTCGGGGTATGTTTGTCTTGTTTAAGGGTGTGGATGGGGGGGTCCCCACAGCTTGGGTGTGTGATTGCAGGTGAGCGATTTCACTCTTAACGAGGAAGTTTGTCTTTTGTTTCTGGGCCTGTTTTGTCCTTTCCCTTTTTTGCGGCATCGGTTCCGCTCAACAATTGGTTTGCTCTTAGTGGAGTCCCTGGGATTCAAAAGATCACTAAACACTGGCTGGGTTGATACAACCACCATTGTTTTGCTAAGGATTGGCACGGGTTCTTTTAGGCCGTTTTTCTCGAGAGATTCGTAGGAACACGAGTTTACTATGTGGTCTTTCGTGTGGGAATTCCTTATTTTCGATGTGTGAATCATAGCACTTTGGGCTGGATGTGTCCCTTTTAGGAAGGCTGCTGGGTTGGATCTTCCGATTGATTTTAAGGAGATAGTACAGGTTATCCTTGGTCTTCAAGTGCAGCGTTCCTTGTGTCTTCTATTGAGTGCCCGAAGTATCGGTTGATTCAGGTACTGGTGATCCAGAGCGAATAAGCTAGTTGAGTTTGATCGGGGTATTTTTTTTGGTATGCTAAATATGAACCATAATCTGAACATATTAGTTTTGGATAGTTTTGGTGTACCCCAGAGTTGAGCCAAGCATTGTAGAGGGAGTTGCCCCCGCCCCCCTGCCCCACCGTGTATAGACTTCCATTTGTTTAAGAATGCTCTTTTTCCCCTGTTGGTTCTAAAGGGAATCTATCCCTACTGGAAATATGGTTAATTTTTCCAGGGGACAAAAACGCAAATGGAAGTATAACCGCTCGGGTCTCCTTACAGAGGCCAACATTAGCAAGCGGGTGGCGGGTGATGCAGTTCTTGAGGGCAACATGGGCCTCCAACCTTTACTCACTCCCTGAGTTCCCGGACTCCTGTGCTGGACTTGATGTCTCTCAGTTGTTCAAAGCCGACCTTTTGACCTTTTGGTTTTCCCTTTTTGGTCTATTTTTAGTAGAGGTTCCAAAAGGTTGACCTTTTATTTGCGGGTCCAGGCAAGTGATTTTTGTTTGCCACCCCCACACCGCTGCCAAAGGGAGTATAGAATATATACACCCTGACTCTATTTGATGATTGCATACTCCCGTTTTTCCTTGGCCCTTTAATCAAAGTAAACAAACACGTAGTCTCAGAAAAGACACTCCGAAATAGGAACTCCGATGAGGAACCGTTTGGATGCCAGGTTCCTACTCTATAGCGGACCTTTCACTTTTCAGAAGAATAATATTTGCCTTGATTCATAACTTGGCCCAAATCTGGGGCTCGCATGAAAAACTTTCAAAAGACATATCTTTGGAGAACGCGCCAAACAATGTGGGGCCCGCATTGCTGAAGAACCACCTACATTTACGTCACAAAGCCAATGGAATCCTGGAATGGAGAAGACCGCGTAAAACTCCAAAAAAGCAAGCCGCAATGGGGTAACAGTTTGCACAAGTCTCCATAATTCGGGGCCTTCCAACACTCTACTACGACGGCTCCATGACAGTTAGTGACTTCCCCGAAGCCACTACAGTTAGTACAACAAAGGGAACACGTGCCATTCGAGGGATTTCCGCGCCCCTTTAATAAGCCATACAAAAGAGGTCCTTTCTTTTTTTTTGAGGGGGTATTGTAAGATTCATATCTCAATTAGCGAAGCCCATCTCAAACGCCAACGAATCGAGGTGCAGCCTGTGCTCTCGGCTGGAAACTTCGCCTTCCTCTTCGCGAGGTGCTGGTTGGCCTCAAATCAACTTCGGCTTCGGTTTCCCTGAGGGGAGCCAAAGGCTATGGGACCATCCGGGCAAACGGAAGGGCCCCGATACAAACTCAGCTCATTTCATAGCGAGCCAAGCTTAAGACTCCGAGCTTTCACCCGTTGGATCGGGTCTTTGCCGAAGCCCCTTGGAAATTCACACATTGTCAGGTGTCATCGAAGCCAGGCAGCCTAACACCTGACCAAATGAGCGGGCTTCTCGCGAACATCTGCCGTGAATCCAGGTGTCGGGGCAAGCGACTGGCACTCGAGTCCCTCGTTTCCGGGGTGCCTTAAGAAAATCGGCCCCTTGACATGTCCGTTGGTTCATCGGAAGCAAGACCTTTATTGATCGAAGGTCAAATGACTGATGGTGTGTATGCCTTCTCCCCTACAGATGAACATGGAACCCAACAACCACCCCATTGGAGAGCAACCCCTTCTTGGGGTCCACCGTTCTGAGTTCCACGTTAATTTGTGATGGAATACATGTTGTGGTCAAACAATTCTTCGGGATCATGATTGAGACCCCTTAAAGATGTCAACCCCCAGGTGCCATCTACCTGAACCAGCCCCCCCCCTTTTGGCAAGAATGGTCTTCCATTTGCTGAAGCAAATATTTATTATTTTTCCCTGTTGATTTCAAGCATAATGGAGGTAGTGTGGGTGTAAAATATTATATATATATATGTAGCGACACCTTAAGGAGTCCCACTGGAAGGAAGCATTGATGTGCAGCGGCCTTTACCGTGAGAATGCCCCCCGTCCCGTTCAGTTGGATCTATGAACTTCAGCTTTTGGTTGAAACATATTATTTCTCAATGGACCCACTAACAGTTTATGTTTTTGCAGAGTGGTCGCTGCAGCAATCACATTATAGAGGGTAGCCAGTTTAAGGTTGGCTTAACAGCAACGAGGAATAGCTTCATGTTACGGCCGCCCAAATTTTGACACATTTTGGGCCGACAACATGGAAGTGACAGGCTACTTTGCATTCGGTAATAGGGGCCGGTGCACTTCCCTTTGGGTGTGGCTTCTTGTTTAGGGAAGCCCAAACAATGGCTGGCTTCCTGTTGGTATTCCTTTAAACCAATCCACAAAAAGGGTACCCTCAAAAAAACAACATACTTCTTGATCGTAGGGTAGGTCGGCTCTTGAGACGCGTCTGCTTCGCAGGTCCTACCACCCCGCCATGCGCCATGTGGGCCCCATCCGTTTGGAGCGGTTGTCGCTTGCGCGGTTACCGGTCGATTTCCTTCTGGACTTGACACTCTCCGGGAAGACCACTTTGGTGGTAAGTAGGAAGTTCAGCTTCTTTTTGTTTGGCCAATCCACTCGTTCGGAAGTGAGATCACCAACTCTTTCCCGGCAAAGTGAAAGAACAAGTAGCAGGGTAGCCTCAGCAGATGAAAAGCCGTGTGTCCTGTGCGTCATTGCCATCCCGCCCCTTCGAGTCGCAACCCTTAGAACATTTCTTTTGTCGGCTGCCGGTCTGGGGGTACACACTCACCAACACATTACAGCAACCTCATAAGGGGGCGGGGGTGCGACCTCACTTCTGAATGTCGCCTTTAAAGGAAACCCTATAACGAGGTTGGTGAATGCATATGACAATTGACTTTACCGCAACGAAAAGCCAGCTTGCCCAAACCAGCTGAAACTTGTCGCTCAGATGTAGGGCTGCCTGCTGAACTAGGTTGGAATTCACTGTAATAGTTCCAGCAGTTCAGAAAATTGGAGGCCACGGCAGGTTTGTTTGACACATTCCAGAGACGGTGGTCAACATAAAGCAGGCAATAATGCAACATAAGAAGGTAGATAAATCGACATACTTTTTGCAGGACCTGCAAGCACCAATCTTCACGAGACTCTTTGTTCGTGGCAATTTGTATGTGTGTGATTCCTGTGTGTTTCTTAGGGACCCTTTCCAAAACTACTCCATTGGGAACCAGACCCCTGCCCGCTCCAGGTGTTGGCCTTTGAAGGGTGCCCCTAGCCTCATGAGCTGCGCAGTGATCTCTTGGACCGTGCAAAGCATAGGGTTGTTCAACCCAATCCGTACTCCTTCCAGACAACAAGGGGGTGTCCCTTGTTGTGGTGTCCCACCTCTGTTCGCGGACTTGTGTTTCTTCTTTTTTTAATATATATATATATATATATCTATCTGTTGGGTTTCTGAATAAGCCGTCCAAGGGGTTCAACCCATTTCGAATTTCTCGTGTAGCTACTGTTCGGGCCAATTAAACTGAATAAAACGTGAGTTTCCTTTGAGAAGTGATATTTGGACAGCTACGAGCACATCGATTGGATGAATGAAGTGTTTTGGGATGATTTGGGACTTATCATTTCAGGATTTTGAAAGTTACAGTAGCTTCTCGCTCCGACTAACGTGGAAGTCTTCTATTTCGGGGCGGGAGCTTCCGTGGAATCGTTTGGGGGAGGGCAGCTTCTCCATGCGGCGTCCAACATTCCGGTTCTGTGGATACGGGGCCCTACCCACATCAGGAGCTGGGCATCCGAACAGCTCGAGGGCCCAGAGTGTCCCTGGCCGTTTCCCTGCGCTGTTGGGTTTCTCCTTGTATGTCACATTCTTAATGTTCACAGAATATGGGCCGGAATCAAAGATATGATTTTTACGTGGGCCACATGCTGAGATAGCTTCAACACTTGTTTCAAGAGTTCTAGATGGTTGCTTGCCGCCGCAAAATCAGTGAGAGTGTGTCTGAGTTTCCATACACGGACAGATCAAAGAAAGCTTGTGAATGCATTGTAAATGTGTCTGGTCTCAAAAGTGAAGCAGGCAACAACCGGCATCTGTCAGTCTATCGGGATGAGGTCATGAGAAGCGCCAGATTGTGCAGCCAGATTCTCAAGCAACACAGCCAAGAAAAGAATCCAGAACATATCTCAATATGACCGAGGAAATTTCACCTTTTCAGCGGCAAAATAGAACCATAAAGGGGTGCTTGTAGGCCATGGGGTATTCATTGATTAAGCTCCGTTGCACATGAGGTTTGCACATTAAGTAGTGTGGGTAGACCCCTTTCTTCCAGGTCCTGACTACGACTCAGGTGGCAGCGACACAGCAAAGCTCCCAGATGGCAAGAGTTCGGCTTCAGAGGCTGATAAGCCACCTCCAAATATACCATCATAGCTCCCACAGGCGCATGAAGCTGGCAGTTCTGTTGGCTTCGGCGCAACAGAACTGAAGCCTTCAGTGGCGGCGCCCTGTGCCCTGCAACGCACTCTGTGCCATGTGACCTGCAACAACCTGTCACATGCCCCCCCTAGAGCCCCTATAGCGTTCAACTATTTTGGGAATACAACAGTGAAAGGGATTAGCATAATATCTAGCTTTCTTTTACACACCATAAATCGGGATTCCAGGAGTCAACTTGCTTCACCCCCCACACAAACCATTCTCTATGTTTCCTTAAAGGAAATCCCCTTCCGGTTCATTCCCAAAGCCCGGAAGGTCATTCCCTACTGACCAGCAGGTCAACTCGTGTAGTTACGCAGGTCTTCAACATCCTGGGGCCCTTGACCAATCCCGCGAAGCCGGATGCCATGGTCTGCGGCGCGGGTGCTTGGAGAGCTTCGCGATCTTGCGCTTTGAAGAGACATGGCGTGTTTGTGTGTGGGTGCGTGTGTTCGCATGTTTGTGTTTGTATGTGAGGGCGCGCGCGCGCGCGTTTTGGATGAAGCAGCGGGAAACTCGGATTTCCTGAGAAGGCACAAGCTAACACCTTTTATGTCATAGTTTTAGGCTAGACAAAATATGAAACAACACACTCACTATCTAAGCAAACACATGTTTTGTGGGCCCCAGATGTGGGCCGAGTGGTCAACCTCAAAGATGCTCCCCAGAATTCCGCTCAAAGCATCACGCCTATCAAGGGAGACTCACCTTAAGTGGGCCAAACAGACGAGCTTTACAGCCAGCAGAAATCAGACAATCCTGGCTCACATGTTGAATGGCCTGTTTTGTTGTTGTCCTTTTCGTTTCCCCGAATTCTTCGGGGGATGTCCAGACTTGAGAGAAACTTTTATTGGGCTCCGACAGCGAGGTGTGTACACCGAGAGCCTGGGTCGGCTCTTCGTGGAGGTCTTCAAGATGCTGGGTAGGGACACTCAATGCGGGCAAGCGGGCGATGCGTTCAAAATGGGAAGGGACCGGGGATTGGGTTTTAAGAGGAAGCCTCGAGGAAACGTGGCGACCATTTTGGGGTGGCAACCTATGGGTTTTTCAACCCACCAAAGTTGAGCATGCCTCTTGGAAGTCTCATGTTGGTTTCGGGAAGCCTTCCGGCAAGCCCCAGTGAGCTGGTTTCGGGTTCAATTCAGCATGGAACTTTAGGGGACCCAGACAAGAAGAACTGGGAACCCCGGATGATGTGTGAATGATGGAACAGGCACTTTGGAAGAAACCAGCCACAGGGAAAAAGGAATATTTTGTTTTTGGTTGGCCAACTTCTTGTAGATTTGGTCTTGTAGCTGACACTGTGACTCCTGAGGCATGCGGCGGGCGCTGGTGGTGCACGGCTGCGAGGGCTTGGACGAGCTGTCCATCGCCGGGCCCTCCAAGGCTCGACTCGTCGACATGAGGGTCGCTCGAAGGCTCGAGCCGCTTCGGCGCTCGGGGCTTCTCGGTTCGGAAACAAACCCAGAGGCTCCTGGCTTTGGCTTTCAATGGAAGACCCAACCCCATTGGACACCCCGGAGGTGTTTGGGGGTCTCAAAACCTGGCTGTTTGAGGGCCCTAATTAAATGATTCGGGAGCCTCTGGGAAGGAGAAGACTTGCTTGCCCGTTTTGCCCTGAAACTGAAGTAGCCTCCCACCAATTAACATGGAACCTGACGTTCGGAGGATCCTGGACAACCATTTTCCTTTTAAAGGGACCCCCGAACATCAGGTTCCATGTTACTTGATGGGAGGGTGCCCGTTTTGGCCTTAAAGGCCCATAAAGGGTTTTCTTCACTTTCCCTGAGCCTTTAAGCGGTCGCTTGTCACCTACCTGTCGGAGTCTGGCCAAGTTCAGAGTTTCCAAGCTCGTGTTTCCTTGCGGCAATGAAAACGGGTCTTTTGAAGTAGTTCTAAACGGATGACCCCGATGTTTGAAGTTCTTCGTGTGAGTAGCTCTCGTGTTTTCGGTCGACCTGGTTTTTGTCTTCACTCTGAAACCCGGAGCACTTGGAAAGCTTTGGCTTGGGTTTCGTGGGTGCTTGGAGCTGTCAAACGACCATCTTAAGCACTTGAATGTTCACGATGTTTACTCAATGGGTCCGGAGTGAACAAGTTGAAGGGTTCTCAGCATTACTTTGGAGGTTGTTCCTTCCAAACTACAACTTAGAGGGCAATGTTGAGATCACAGGTGGACAGACGATTGGGCACTGTCCAAAACCGAACCAAGCTGTCCTTTTGGATCTGAACCCCCTTTTGCTTTTTTTTCCCCCCTTTTGTCTTGTGATCTCATAGTTGTGTTTTGTTTCTTCAGTTATGTGTCGCTTTTTGTGTGAGGGGAAATACTTGTTCAAGTCAACCGGTTTTGTGAGGGGAATCAAGGAACCTATTTTACCACAAGCTCTCTACAAGGCCACAGGTCTGCCGAAACGCATCCTGCGAACAGGCCATAAAGGGAACCATTGGTTTGTTTGGTTGGGTTGCTTTGGCATTTGCTTGAATATAGATTGGCCTGGTCTCAGCTTGGTGCCATACCTAGGTCACCAAAGTTTTAAATGTTCGCACAACAGGCTTCTAGAGATTTGGGTTTCAAGGTCACTGTTTGTGATATGAGGGGAATCTCCTTCAAAAGTAATAGAGAAGTTAGAGGGATGCGAATCCAACTTTAATCCACCGGTGCCAGCTGTTCCAGGTCACCTGCCCAGCAGATCCCAGTTACCTCACCCATGTCCTTTTGCGTTTCGAAGGGTGGCTCTGTTGGTTGCCTAGCTCCATGGCATCTCTGTGGGTTTCTTGTTGCGAGGGTGGTTTCAAAAAGGAGACCATAAGGAAGACCCACCGTCTTGGGGCTCCCCTAAAATCGACCCACCACGGCAGGAGTTTCTTCGCTCGGACACCCGAGCTGATCCGCAAAATCATTGCGCCAGGTGTGGGAGCTAAAGGAAGGCGGCGAGATCGTGGAGTACCAGGCGGGCAATAGACATATGGGGGTTGATCACTCTTCCTGGCCCCCAGAGAGCATATGGGCCCATATGTTTTTTTGTTTTTTCCGCATTTGGTGGGAAACATGATCTTTTAGTGGGAATTTCCAATGGTCATCAACTTTTGATCAACCCCCTGTGGGTTTCTCTTTTTAGGGGACGCCCCAAAATGGCTTCGGTTCTCCGCTTAGGTTTCCCATGAACACCACAAAAAGGGGTACTCTCGAACAAAGGTAGCCCGTAACAATGCTACTGAGACCTAGAAAACGACACCCCTAGTCAGAATCTGAACATAGGTCCCGACTCTTTGGATGCTCCGTTTTGGGCAGACCCAACCTTTTTGGTTGGGTTTAAGCGGAAACCAACGGGAAGCCAACCATTCGGGTGCTCCGAGAAGAGTTGCAGAGAAGCAACCTTGCTCCAGACGTCTGGGGGATTATTCATGACAACGACAACGGATGTCGCAATGTGATTGCCAAACCCCGCCCCCAATTCAAAATGGAATTGGTGGAGTCCATTTGTTTCTATGCTCCAGTCATTTCAAGCATGAAAACGGGGGTCAAAAGGCGATTGCCAATCCCACCCTCTCAAAATGGAGTATGTAATTGTAGGAATTCATTTGATCCATTCCAACGATTGTGCAGGATGTTGTCCATCCGCAGTAGGCTGGGGTCTGTTTTCGACCCCGGCAAAAAGGGGAGCGGGGAGGGGTCATCATGCTGGTTGAAACTTCTGGTCAAAATAATAGGGGGAGGGCGGGAGGGCCATCATGTGGGGGAGGGCCATCATGTTGGGTTTGTTTCGGTCCTTGTGTTGCTTGAACGGCCCCTAACCCTCCAACAAGTAATATTGGATGGTAGAGGTCTGATTGGCTCAACATAGGGACGTGGAGTGTTGGTCATTGGTCATCATGTTGGTTTAAATGACAATGTGTCTCCTTTTAGGTCGAACATAACGTTGGTCGAGAGTCGATGGTTCAAGTGCCCCCATGTCAGTAATGGTACCCAAGCCTCCCCAAATGACTAAGTGCCCTCATTTCCACAACATCCCCACAGCCTGAAAGGGTAGGGGAGTCCCTAGTTCCTCGTATCTCTAGTTCCTTGTTCCATACCTGCGGGGGGGGGGGGGGTTCCGGGTTCCCGCCGTTTTGGTGAGCCAAAAATGATGACGACTTGAATGCTGTTGGCTTGGACCAGAAACACCTGCCAACTTTTTGCATAATATACATCAGTGCTACATATATACCTCTGCATAGCCACCTTAATGGGAACTCCGGATAATACACCCATCCTGCTACTAGGCACAAAAGTGATGCATTCCCGCGAAAAGGGGGGCCTCTCAGATTAATCAACCAGGAGTTTATTCATTTGCGGTTAACATTCGCAGATCCAAAAGTCATTTCATGCCCTGAATCTGGGACGGAACAAGCCCACCCAAATGATGTCCACCAAAATTTACCCGAATAGAATTCACGCCCTTGTTAACCCAGGCTTAGCATTACTAGAACCAAAACTTTGGTGCATTTTGCTTGGATGTTAGGGCTTCAACTTTTTGCCAACTACTGTGTTTTCCATTGAGCCACTAAAAGTTAAGCTTTTAGCAGGGGAGTAGAAAGCAACCGAGAAAAGCCATTTTGCATCGAATCGATTTCCAGGTTCGGCCCGAGGACTTTGGCGTGGCCGTGCACCCCTTGATTGAGGTGCGCCCCCCCCCATCCCCGCGGCTGGATTCCAGCGAAGCCCACCGGCCCTCTCGGGGTATCCCCTTAAGGCGGCACGTCTCGGCAGGGTCCAAAAAGGGTTGCCACATGTTGGACCTTTGTTTTTGGGTAGGCTGAGTATTAGACAGAATCTGACATATGTTTTTTTTTGTATTCCGAACTGTGGGCCAAGAGTAGCACATGTTTCTTTTTTTTGGGGGGATCCTATGATTGTTAACGTTGCAAGAGTTGTGTCTAACCACTCGATTCTCCTCTTGTTGGGTGTTTGGATGGAATTCAAAACAACATCTGTCATTTTGAGGGCCTCCCGCTTTGGCCTATCCGTTTTTACGTTTGCCCTTTGGGGGTTCCTTCGTTTCCCTTGCTTCCGCAAACAAAGACGTTGTGCAGTTCCTCTGGCCGCCCAGGAAACTCCGTTCGCACAAAAGTTTCCTGGCGCGCAAGAAAGAGGTCGTGCCCGAACTAATCCCAAGGTGAGCCACAATCAAAACCTGGGTAGATGAAGGTTAGCAAGGGGCAGTCCCAGCCGGAAATAGTTGCGGCCGCCTTTCTAATTCCTTACATGGTTCTGGGTTCACCATTTCTGTACCAGGTTTTGATTGTGACTCACGTGTAGGCTGTTCGGACACTAGAGGGGCTGGTTGAACTTGGCTTCCCTCTGTTTGGTGGTTTGAACAGTGCTCCTTAAACGATCTCCACTCTGCCACCAATTGAAACATGTTGCTTGTTCAGCACCAAAATAAAGGGAAACCACCATTTACTTTTGGCAATGTTCAGGTGTATCATGTAAGGATTTGGAGGTTTGAAGCCCGGTGGTTTGGTGGTTTGGAGGTGTTGCGGTGTTCCATTTGCTCCGCAAGATTCAGGGGGCAGCCCCAAACCAATCCAAAGCACCAGAGGGTAACTTGACGAACGGCGGCCCAAAAGCTTTGAACTTCTCCGCGGGGGTAACTCACCCTTCCCGGCAGATTTCGCGATCCTAGGGAAGCTAGCCAGGATTTGGAACCCAAGAGTCATAAGCTGAATGGCACCTATTGCCGTGTTCAAGTTGGATGTTTCGGGGTGTAGGTTGGCCTGTTTGGTGAAAACAGGAAACCAACGGCAGCCTATTGCGCCACCCCAAATGTCAGGAGGCCGTCCGCCGGATGTTGTTGAATCTGAAACGAACAGTTCAAATGGCCTTTCACTTATATAGTTGGGTATCGAACATGGTGAGGTTTACAGCGCTGTTAACCTGTTTTTTTCCCCCAAGCAAAGGGTATAATTGTTTTAATGTATCTCAGCCTCCTATTCGACACCCAGACCACATGTGTGGGTGATGCTGGAAGCGAGCAAGGCGAAAAGGGAGCTGAGCCAACGTTTCAAAGCATGCTATGTAGCGCTGAGCCGGCTTTGTAAGGTGTGTGTAGGTGTGGGTGTGTGTGTGTGTGAGTGAGTGGGTGTGGTTGTGTTCACTGCTTTTGTCTAAAACTTCACGTTGCCACGCGGGAATTGTCCCTGGTCCCTGAAGCTGAACATTTGGAGCGGTTAGTACTTGTGATGTGCCGCGATTTCGTTAAACCATCCTTTAGCTTGGGCAAATCGAGGATGTCACAATTGGAGTCAGTAAGAATGTTGACCGGTTCCCTCTTGTTTATTTTGTGTGTTTGCTTGGGCTTCCCCTTCAAGCCAAGCACCCGCAACAATGGCGCCTGTTTTCACACCCCTGCACACCAAGCGCTATTCAACCCAGACCTGTGCACCGCGCGAGTGAAGCCCTAGACATCCACGCCGGTCACCGGTCCGAGCCACGGGTCACCGGTCGGAAGGTGGCTGGCAACAGCCCGGAGGAGAACGCCCAGGAGATGCGGGAGCTGCTGAAGGGCCAGCAGGGAAGCCCAAAGGGGGCTGGAGCAGTGTGAGGGCGTGATTTGAGTTCAGGGTTCCCTTGATGTTCCATTATGTTCCATATATATATATATATTTATTATACTACATGCCCACACAATTTTACACTCAACCCAGGGCCTTTTGACACCTTTCTTGGGACCGGGGGAGATACTTCGAAGAAACCGGCACAATCGGTCCATTCTCATGCAGTGGTCTAAAGAAACCCTGCTCAAACCGAGGACCAACTCTGAGTCTTCTCCATATAAATGTCATCTTAATTTTGGGGAAAGAGTGATTTACTCCATGATGAAGGTCCCCGTGAAATTCCCAATTTCCAGTTTAGGAATTGTAGTTATATAGGTTGGGATTTTGATTGCCAACAGTTCGTAAGATGCAGTTCGGTGCAGGTGGTGTTTGTGCGCAAGTATACACTTAACATTGTCAGGGTGAATGTTACTCGTCCCGTGGTTGGATTACATGGCGATGGCCATGACATGCCATGACTGATCGGCATAGGACATAGTGCCTATGTAGCGTGGTCCTGGAGTCTAAGGGCATTTGGGAGGGCCGTGGGGGAACTCGCAACATTTGCCGCAAAAGCACGGACTCACGAATTGTCTCATTGCCTCTTAGTGAAGCAATTATTTATTTGTCGCTCACCTGCTTTCACAGCGCAGATGTGTTGCGGGGGTTAGTTTGTGCGTGTTTTAGACATCATGTTTGGTTGCAAATTTCAAGCTAGGTTATTGTAGGTGCTTGGTGATGCGAGGCTGGTCGTCTAAATACAGCAAATCGTCTAAATCTGACATGGCGTAGCCCCCTTTGTTGCCGTGAGTCGGCCACGCGGAAGATGTTTGTTCCGGTAGCATTCTCGCAACACAAGGCCTTGCCTTGAGGGCCTCCGTGTATGTAATATGTGTGGTGCAAGCAACTGTTTTAATGTGCTTTTAGTTTGCCGATTTATTTTTCAGTAAGTGCCTTTCACATCATAAATCTACCAAAGCAAGCAGAGCACACACCAGGACCAGTCCAAGGCTGTTGTAGCCATGCCTCGCCGATGTGCTACAAGCAATAATCCATCAGGTAACCCTTAGTTGGTGTTTTGGATTGGCGCTGGGATTTGAACTTGTGCAGCGGGTAGATGGGAAGCACCCTCGGAACACCTCCAGTCAATCGGGTTCCAAGCCACGAATTTTGGGGGTAGTGTTGCCCCCATATTAGTCAACCCCTGTTGTTTTCATACTGCGGGGTCCCTAAGTTTTGGAGGGGAACACCCCCATATTAGTGGAGGGGTTTATTACTCCGGGGTCAACATGAAGGTGAAGCCACGCAGCTTTTTTCGCTCTATCCATTCTGAGGGGCCGCCTGGCGGTGAGAGAGATGGTGCTCATGAATGCCTCCGCGGCTTTGTACGTGGCCGGCAAGGCCGACGGTCAAAACCGGGCGTGGAATTGATATCATCGAGAACCGATTCCCGAAAGAGGCCATTTTGGTAGGTGGTTTGATTGGGGCTTATACTATAAGGCCAATATGCAGCTTCATTTTGTCACCAGTTTAGTTTAAGCAAAAATCAAGAGGGGAAATAGGCGACGCTCATTTGTTGTCAAAATGGGTGACCCCTTCTGGTGTTGTTCCTTTTGGTTTCCCTTGAAACCAACCGAGCCTCAACAAAACGTGCAACCAATAGAACTCACTCCGAAATGCCACAGTGCAAAGACACCTCTTCTTCAAGGCGAGCAAACAGAAAGCACAAGCTGCCTAGGCTGGTCGAGCAGCAGTCTTCAGTACAAGTCCTTCCAAAAACACATGGTTTGCTCACTCACCGGGTTTTGGACCTGGTGCTTTTGGTGAGGACCGTTTTAGCGGCAAACAATAAACATGGACTCTTTGTTGGTTTTTCTTTGCAGGAAGTGAGCTTGAGATGCTTGCGATGGGGGTAAATGATTTGTCTCAGTCGTGGCAACCCAGGTGCATCTATCTACTCTCTCGCTCAGTGAAGGACTTTCTTTGGTTTCTCTCGATCATTTCTTTAGCCCGAGTTTGTTTCTAAACAGGGGCCCCTCCCCCCCCAAAAAAAAAGAAAAGAAACAAGAACGACAAATAATTAACTGGAAGTGGTGCATCACTGGTTCCCCCTTAAACAACGCCAAAACGGGAACCCTAAATGGAGAGCTGATCTCCATATGGCCTGCGGTTTTGAAATCAATGACGGGGTTTCTCTTAGAATCTAATTCTGAGCATTTTTCCAAGTATGTGTTTAATTAAGATCCAAGTAGAGATTGACTTGAATTCAATAAATCAGGAACTATCTCGAATGCCCATCTTGAGTTAGAGATTAAATTGAAATTCCTTTCCGTACAGGAGTTTGAACATGTTTGAATTGAATAAGCCGAGCCGACAATACAAGTATCACTTTCATCTTAAGCCACAGTCAGAGTTGGAGTTCCGGTCCCATCAATTCATGAAACGGAGTTTAATAAAGAAAGACCGTATTGGTGTTTCTTCTATTTGGCCTGCCCCTTCAAAAGAGTCAAGCAAACAATGGACATACAATTTCAGTTCTATTGGACGCACGCTTTGAATTTTCAGGCGTTAACTTCCGCAACGTGATTTTACTTGGAGTTATTATGCTTTATTTGAATATAACTGTGACCGGCTTTCCATATATATATATATAGATTAGTTTCAACTGAACGGAGTTAGGATCTAAATTTAGTTTAATGAGATTCATCAATTAGAACACCTATCTTAAGTTAGTTCTTAAGTAGGAACTTACCTCGAAATAAGACATGTAGTAAACAGGATTCAGCATTTAAGTCTACTTTGGCAAGCAAAGATATCTACCTTAAGTTGATATATAGTTGAGCCTGAGTTTTCCTGAGTTGCTTTTGTTTGTTTGACTCTTTTAGGCGGCACGCCGATTAGAAGAAACACCCATATTGTCTTTCTTTATTCAATTCCATTAACCATCTAGTTGAACGCTAAGTGACACCATATTTGAAATATAATTCCTATTCCAATTGTAGCTTAATATAGAAGTTCTACTTGAATTGTGTCGATTTTGAGTGTTAGCGTGATTATTTTTGAGTTCTCCTCAAACTTGTTTTTACACTTTCCCACACCATGCAACCAACCTGTTATTATTTAAACAACACAACGAAACAACACGAGTTTTGTGCGTGTTTCTTGGTTTTAGCCGGGTTTCAGAAACGCAGGGCATTCACTAGTCAGCGTCTGCAATGGTCCACATAAACACGCGCTGATCTTGCGCTACCGAACAAAGATAACACACACACCCCTCCTGCCAAAAAGTCGGAACCCTGAAACCACGAAAACGCAGACGAGACATCAGAGGTCTCATTTTGCCAAGTCCAAAGCCTTTGGGATCCTTGGTGAGCCTACCCCAGAACTCAACAGATTCCCAATGAAAGGAATCCTCATGGACAAGTTGTCTAGACAACATGTTAGATGCCCCAACAGTGGCTTCTGCCAGCTTTTGCACCTTGTTTCAGGAATCCACCCACTTGAAGATTATTTTGCATCTTAGGATTCACTGAATATGGACCATGATCAAAAACATGGGGAAGAAGCTGAAGTACTTTAGGCTTTGCGGATTCGATTTCAATGCCCAAAAGTGATCCAGATTCTCTCACGGAACACCCATCTAGGGGTTAGTCTGACCTGGGTTCTACGAAACGCCACCAAGGCCGCGCAGTTGGAGAAGTTACAGGAGGTTAGAGTCAGAGATGAGCGTTAGAGGCTAGAGTCAGAGGTTAGAGTTGGCGGTTAGAGCTAGAGGTTACAGTTGGAGGTTTGGGGACTTAAAAGTTAGGGAGGTCAGAGACGAGAGTTGGAGGTTAGAGTTAGACGTTCGTCGTGGCAAACACCTGCCCCATAAGAATACGCCTTGCCCCTTTGCCAGAACATGGCATGGCTGTGGCAAAAGGGGTCGGCGGATTCTTTAGTTTCGGGTGAAGCCCTCTAGCACCAGGCATGGTTTGATTGAACTAACCATACTATGGGTGTGCGTAGTTTTTGTTTGTTTATTTTATTTTTTTTTTCCCGCGGACCCACCAAACATGATTAGTTTAACCACCAAAAAGGGGCAATTACGCTCAAAAAGGACACACCCATATCCTACGCCACGGCGTTTGAATTCTGTTTCAGCTGGGTCCTGGGCGCCTGGAAGCCTGCGCGACGCCTTTCCACCACCTCTTGGACGAGTCCTGGACAGTTTTCCCGCATACACGGGGCACCGTCAAACTTTCCCTTGGGGAAGACCAGCACAGCACACTCCCTTCAGTCCAGACACGCAATCACCTCCCTTGAGTCACTTGGGAGCGCTGACTCGTGAGGTTTCCCTGGTGAACCACCGGCGAAAAATCGGGTACCGCCGGGGTTTCACTCACTCATTTAAGTGGTAGATGAACAGCTCAGCTTCTTTTTCTGGCCAGTTCACTCAGGCAGGATTGGTGGTTTGGATTGGTGGTTTCTCACTTGCCCTCTACAAGAACCCGGGGTTCAAATCCAAATCCTTACCACCAATCCAAACCGGGGCTTCCGGAGCTCCCCCTTCTGCTGCCTCAGGTGCCCAACTTCAAGGCTGGCACAGAGGCCGCGAAGGCCGGTTGCCATTAGATCCGACCCCAGACTGGGCCGAGTCAGTTTGTTTTTACCTCCTTTGGATGAATAGTCCTACTACTGGGCTTCCATTTGCTTGTATTTTCCTTCTTGTTCGTTTTAAAGGGAATCTATCACTATTGGACATGTTTTTTTCTTGAATGTTTGCCAGGGGCTTAAGCGGAAGTTGGTTCTACAGCTCTTGTACATTGTAGGTTGGTTCATGTAGAAACACGAGTCAATGGTTGAATCAGGCGCCCACTTGGTATCGGCTCCAGACCTCTAGCGGGGTATTTTTGTATGTTTGTACGGTTTTTGATTTGCTTGTTCCAAAGGTTCCGGTGGAGCAGCGACTGGATTTCAGGTTCCCGAATGTTCGAGGGGTTGCGGGGAACCCTTGCTGGATAGACGAGAGTGCCAGAAGGGCATGTGAATTTGTTCAATTTACATCAGCTACCAACACACAACAAGTTAACCCCCAGCCTGGAACTAGGGTTTTCCTGTTTCCTTGTGCGCATAGGCAACTAGGGTTCACTTAACGATTCCTTGAACTATCCTACCTGGGTGAATTATAGCGACCTCACACGACCTCACCCCAAATGGCGGTTTATGTGGGGAATACATGGTTGTTGTTGGGAAACATTTTACATGTTTGCTTATTGTGGTCTAGTGGGAAATCCCTACATAACTGCTAAAATTTAAATTTTTGCTCCCCTTCCAACGTCAACCAAGAATAGCCCCCCAACCACCTTATTTCAGGTTGGTGAAATGCTATAATTCACCCAGATCCTACGCATAGCAGGCCTCGGTTGCCGCTCAATGTCAGGCGGCGATGAGCAACGGCTCGGCGGTCAAGACCTTGGAGGCCTACGTGTCCTCTTCGCAAGGCACGGTGATGGGCTGGTAGCGGGATTTGCTTTAGGAACCCGAAAGGGGGTGGAGGATTTTGAGTGGAGCCAAACAAATGGTTTTTTTTAGGAACCCAAAAAAGGGGGTGGAGGATTTTGAGTGGAGCCAAACAAAAGTTGTTGTTTTTTTTGGAACCCAAAAAAGGGGTGGAGGATTTTCAGTGGAGCCAAGCAACAGTTTTTTTTGTTTAAGGAACCCAAAGAAGGGGTGGAGGATTTTCAGTAGAGCCAAGCAAAAGTTTTTTTTTGAGGAACCCGAAAAGCGGGTGGAGGATTTTCAGTGGAGCCAAACAAAAGGGGGTTGTGTTAAGGAACCCGAAAAGGGGGTGGAGGATTTTCAGTGGAGCCAAATAAAAAAGTTGTTGGTTTTTTAGGAACCCGAAAAGGGGGTGGTGGATTTTCAGTGGAGCTAAGCAAATAGTTTTTGTTTTTGTTTTTTAAGAACTCGAAAAGGGGTTGGAGGATTTTCAGTGGAGCCCAACAAAAAGGATGTTTTCTTCCTTTTTTTACCAGCCCGAAAGGGGGGGTTGACGATTTTTGGTGGAGAAGCCAGAAAAAGGCGAAGGTGACACTGAAGATCGTAGTTGGCCTCGGACTTGCCTCACTGGACTTGTTTTCTTCAAGAAGTTTGCCGCTGCCCGGCTAACATGAAAGCTACCACCCTTTGGGAAGAGTTGGTTTTCCTACGGATTGGAAGATCTGTGGCGCGGTGTGCGCGTAGGGCGGGATTCCAGCTAACATCAAATGCCAAAGAAGGGGGCGCCATTTTTCGGCCGCCGGAGGTCTGGGTTGCAGGTTCGGGTTGGAGTTAAGATGTGGATGACTCGTTGAATGGGGGATGCTACACTGATTGTCCTTCGGCGCTTGAAAGGGTACCCTGAAAATTTGATGTTTAGCTCGACGGTTTGGGCTGATCAAGTTCTGCAAGGACCTTTCGAGCGCGCAGTCCGATCTTGACTAGGTCCCCCAGCTAGGTGCCCTTTCTCACCCTTTCTTTTTTGGTTGGGAGGGTTCCTACTAAAATAGACTACAGGAAAAAATCGGGCACCCTTATTGTAACCTCTCTACTGGAGGACCTAGTTGCGTTTGTTTCCGGATTGCTGGGAAGTCACGTCTGGTTGGCAGAAGGGGCGCCTTTGCTGCATATTTGCTCACTGAGTTGGAGGAGGACTTCCGCTTCCCGCGCGGTGGAAATATGGGTCTTTTTTTTTTTGAGGGCACACCTTTTTTTGGGGGTGGTTTTAACAGAAAACCACAAGGAAAGGGCAATCGTAGCCATTTTGGGGGTCCCTCAAAAAGACACATCCAGAATGATTGTGGTGCGATCCCGGGGTCTACCAGACGCTGGTCAGCGGATGTGCTGATAGCCGTTTGCTAATGGAAGAGATCGGCTTTGCTTTGGCTTCTGGGCAGGATTCAACTCCGTGCAAGTATCCTTTTTGGGGTGAGTTTGGTTGACAATAGAGAGCAGTTGTGTCTGTCTGTTTCTGGTGATTTGCTAGCGCAAACTCTGTTTTTCAAAGGGACGCCGGCGCCTATGAATCGTTCAAACTACCAGGCTGTTGCGCCGTCAACTGGCATTGTCCCGGAGAGAGCAGAGTCAAGTCACTCCTTGGCACATCGGTGTCCGCAGCACGGGATTCTTCAACTGGTAGATTCTTGGATTCACCCAGATGACTTTCGGATCTCAAGTCGCGTCTCGGCTTCTTAAATTAGGGAGCTTTGGTCGTTTTCGGGGGGGGTGGTAACGGTCATGTTGTAAAAAGCCTTTGTTGAGCTGGGTGCTTACATCGCACATGATGACAAGGGGGTTTCCAGCCAGAAAACCCCAGTCAGAAGATCCCCCTGAAATAGATATAAGATCCTTACCCGGGGGGCCTTTCGGATTCCGAGGTCATGATGCAAGGATGAACCATGGATCCAAGGAAGCCTCAACACGGCCTTCGTGCGCACGGGGACCCTTCTGGACGTTCGTGGGACCGGCTCGAAGGCCAAGTCTATTCCTTTTATGCACCCATGGTAGTTTGGTGACCATGGGGCTTTGCTTCCACAACTAAGCACAAACGAATCTTTACTCAGAGACCATGGACCACTGGTTCGCGCCTAGGGTTCTGGACACATACTTAGGTGACTGGGCTTTCTTTTGACTCCCTTAAAACTGAAAAAGGAGATCAGGCCTCCAAAACACTCCTCTTAAGCCCCCAAAAGGAATCCAAGACTCCACACCAGTAGGCTGGGCTTTCTTTTGACTTCTCTTGAAGCTGACAAAGGAAACCACGCCTCCAACGCACACACCGCTCCCGTTTTTGCCTCGCAGGCTCAGCTGCCCCGGCAATGTGAGCTGGACGGTGGAATCACGTGTTTGGGAAATGTGGGAGTGTTTTTTGTTGAGGGGACCCCTTGTTTGTGGTTTAAGCAAAAACCAATTCCATTTTCGGGGTATTAGGCAGACCCACGTGGTCAAAGTCCAACGATCGATCTTTTCCTTTGGCCTGGTGATGACCGGGGCTGAGCCAAAGCAGCGGATTCCACCCTATCGATTTTAGCGAGTGCTGGCCAAACATGCGTCAGGTTAGCGAGGTGGGCCCAGCTTTGAGATGACACTCATGTGGGATTGTGCGAAAATAGGGAGACCCCAAATCGGGAGTTGTTTCTTTGGTGCATGTTGCTTGGATGTTAGGACTTTAACTTTTTGCCAACTAATGGGTTTTCCATTAAACCACCAAAAGTTAAACTTTTAGCAGGGGAGCAGAAAGCAAGCGAGGTTTGGTTGGTTTCCCGTGCCAAGGTACAATGTTTGTTGGTTTCGAAGGGGTTGGTGTCCGTGGCTGTGTTTTGTGGCGCCTAAACCATTTCCCAGGTCCCATTCGCTTCACCCATCCTTCTCTTCAGAAACCACACATCCTCCCAAGGATTTGGGCCATTTGAACTGAAGGATGCCTGAACATGGGAAAGGTGCATGGTCAAAAACATCACTCACTTGGGTGGCTTTCTGATGGTCATCATGGACAGGCAGGATAGGCATTCTTATTCTGGATATGGAACTTTGGCCATCACACATTGTGGAGATAACCCTTTCGTTGCCTGACTGAACACAGCTTCTTGCCTCGCTTGCCCCTTTCGGTTCGCTTGTTGCAGGTCCAGTTACGTGACGTGGTTTGGCCCGCTCGTATGGATCTTGAGGTGTAGGCTGTAAAGCCCTAGAATGGGTTCTGCGCAGACGCACTAAACCATTGCCAGGGCATCATTCACGTTTGGAAGGGGCGCCCAGCCCAGAAATCCTGATCTGGGGTTTTGATCATGGCTCAGGAGATGTTCAAGGCTTTCCCTGAGGGTTGCTCTGTTTCGGCGCTTCCAGCAGCCGTGGAAGTATACTTCCCAAGCCCAACTAAGGAATAAACAAGGGGTAAACCCACAACAGCCAGAAGACACAGCGAATTGAACAGGTAGCAATGAAGGATATATGAGAGGTGAATTCGCCCCAGTCAAGACTGAAGTGCCGCGTATTTGCGCTGGGGTTTGGTCCATTCTGTGATTCTGTGAGTCTGAACTCGGGGTAGAGTTATCCGCCTTTTGGCCTTGATGCTTCACAGCTGACTAAGGGTGAAGCACACAAAATAATATGGCCGTGTTTCAAATCGGCTTACCAATCAACATGGCTGGTGGCCTTTTTAGTTGGCCCTTTATGACAACCAGCCAGAATTACCCTCAACCAAGACAGCATGTTTGTTTCAAAGAGGGCAGAACTCTAAGCATCGGGTGGCCACACAGCTACATTATTTCTGGGGATAAACGTGAGACTTGGTTGGGTCAAGAGACCAATGCAAGTGATTTCCCCTTTGCCCACCTGAAGATCTCATCAAACTATCCAGTGCATGAAGGGTGCGATACTCACTCGAGTTCCGATTTGACATCATATTAAGTATCTCTACCGCTATTGGGTTGGACCTTTAGACTTTAACTTTTTGTTTCCCTTCATAGGAACTCGAGTGAGTATCGCACCATTTCAGTCAAAGTTTGGCCAGTCCGATCTGGAAGTGTTTGGTCTCCAGATTAAATGGCGCTGAGCCCAAATAGGTCGCCACGCGTTTCGCTCGCGAGCTGCGAGCGGCTTAGAAAAGAAGCAAAGCATCGGAGGGGCCGAGGTTCGGCAAAACTGGTACGTCAACCAAAAAGGAATCCCAGGGTCTACCACAAACCCTCAGGGTATCTAGAAGTTTGGAGCGAACCAAATAGCTGGGATTAAAATACGCCGCCAAGCCAAAATCAGGACTCCACTCCACATCCATCAAGGGTTCCTTTGAGCTTGTCAATGCCACTCCCGTTTGTCTTGAATGGACAACACATGTATAGTCGGGCGAGCAGGAAAAGTGGGGATTTCGCAGCCTCCCTAAGGCTCCCGATTGTTTTTGGACCCTCAACATGGGCTGTCTTTGAGGGCCCTTTAAGGGTCCGGGTTTTTCTGCTTTTTTTCTCAGGGGGAAACACAACAAGTTGTCCTCTTGGTTTCCCTTAATAAAGGGGTGGCCTCAAAAAAAAATACTCCCATATCTGGCAAAAACACGTGTGGTTCTTTGGTCTTCAGGAGACATGGATATTTGTGCTAAGTGCAAAACATACCAACTCGTCACACCAGACCGGGGCACGAAACTAGGACACCATCGAAAATCGGAAAAGCCCACGACCTTTGAAGAAATGGGGGGGGGGTGGGATTCCTCACTCCCTGAGTTCATGGACTTTAAACTGACTAAACTTTAATTGGACAGCCCATTTAAGTGGTAATAAAGAGTTCAGACTTTTTGGGCCAGTGAACTTTTTTTTTTAACGAACCGGGTACTTAGCAAGTTTCCCCTCGAGAAACTGATGAGATGCTTTCCTTGTAGGGGCGCCATTTCTTGGCAACGTGAAAGGTCGCCTTTGCAACCAGGCCCTATTGCCACTGCCCTATTGCTGAGTACACAGAACCTGACAGGGGGTCCCTTTAAAGGGAAGGATTGTCTTCCAGGACCTGGCCGAAGGGTATGCTGTCACTAGTCTCTCAGAGCCGCGTCACATTCCCTGCGACTCGAACATGTTGACTCGACTGGCTCAGTGGGGGTTGATTCCCCGCTGCTGGGGGCATGGCCATGTGGGCCCGGGCCCTCAAGGGATAGTTGGTCTCCGGAGTCATTTGAATCCGCAAGGTGGGTGTGTCTTCTTTTGGAGTTGAGAATTACCCCTGCGGTGGGTTTTTGAAGGGACACCGAAGGACAAGCTGAAGCTTGGTGGTTTTTTCTAAAAACTGACATACCTAGATGTTTAAAGAAAACGCGCCACTGGCAAGCTGATCAAACACTTATGCTGCTTCATTTCTATGCAGGGAACAGTCCTGAGCCCCAAACCACTAAACCACTTCCCTGCACCCATACACGATCCCTTTTTAACCGCTAGTTGCTTGGACAAGGAACTTGTTCTTATGGCGCAAAGGAACACCAGCCTGCAAAGGGGTCCGGGGCCAAATTGATGCCGTTGCTTTTTTGCGGGCTATATTTCCGACTAACACCCTGTAGTGTGGGTGTGGGGGGTTGGACGCCAGCATGAAAGCCTCAAAACATGTTTGTTTTTTGGCTACAGATTTGTTGGCTTCCAGTTGCTTAAGAATATGTGTTATGTTCCTCTGTTGGTGTAAGATGGAGTCTGTCACTACAGGACATATTGATGATGTTTTCCATGGAATGGGACTTACCCTCCCTCCCACGAACATAGCACCTCACAGGGTGTTGCTTTAAGAGGAAACTGATCTTCCAGATGCCCTCCCACATGTGCCCTTCCACAGGTGCTATGTTTGTTGCAGGAAGGGTAAGCAAGACGGAAGTTGAGGGCAGAAAAAACTGCGTGGACCACGGGGGTGGTCCATGAGAGCTTCAGGAGCAGCGGATCCTCGCAGAGCTCAAGGGAAGGATGGCTCGAAGAGGTTGTTTGTTTAACGGGAAGCCTACCTAGGTCCCCCAGCTAGCTGCCCTTTCTCACCGTTTCTTTTTTGGTTGGGAGGGTTCCCCTACTAAAATAGACCTTGTTCTAACCTCTGTACTGGAGGACCTAGTCTTGCGTGGAGGGAGCAACCCAGATTAGAGCGATATTTTTTTGCAGGGCTCCTTAGGACCAGTTGAGGCGCAATCAAAACCTTAAAGGCTACCTAGCTGCTACCTGAAGCATTTTGATAGACATGTGACTTCTAACCTCTTGGATCAGCCGAGTCCGAGTGAACCGATGCTCGAGGCCCAGGAGGGCATCTACCCCACCGCGGATGGCTGGGTGCCCCCAGCCTGGCCTTGCAAGGAGGCGCGGCGAGGGAATCCAAAAGGGCAAAGCTGGAGCGGCTGGAGCGGTTTTTTTGGAGGCGAACCTATAGCTTGTTCGATGTTTCTGCTTTTTTTGTTTTTAATGGGTTTCCTTGTGATTGTATGTTTAGTTGGTTGGTTGGTTGGTTGGTTGGTTCGTTGGTTGGTTGGTTGGTTGGTGGGTTGGTTGGTGGGTTGGTTGGTGGGTTGGGTTGGTGGGTTGGTGGGTTGGTGGGTTGGTTGGTTGGCGGGTTGGTGGGTTGGTGGGTTGGTGGGTTGGTGGGTTGGTGGGTTGGTGGGTTGGTGGGTTGGTGGGTTGGTGGGTTGGTGGGTTGGTGGGTTGGTGGGTTGGTGGGTTGGTGGGTTGGTGGGTTGGTGGGTTGGTGGGTTGGTGGGTGGGTGGGTGGGTGGGTGGGTGGGTGGGTGGGTGGGTGGGTGGGTGGTGGGTGGTTGGTTGGTTGGTTGGTTGGTTGGTTGGTTGGTTGGTTGGTTGGTTGGTTGGTTGGTTGGTTGGTGGTTTGGTTGGTTGGTTGGTTGGTTGGTTGGTTGGTTGGTTGGTTGGTTGGTTGGTTGGTTGGTTGGTTGGTTGGTTGGTTGGTTGGTTGGTTGGTTGGTTGGTGGGCTGGTTGGTTGGTTGGTTGGTTGGTTGGTTGGTTGGTTGGTTAGTTGGTTGGTGGGTTGGTTGGTTGGTTGGTTGGTTGGTTGGTTGGTTGGTTGGTTGGTTGGTTGGTTGGTTGGTTGGTGGGCTGGTTGGTGGGCTGGTTGGTTGGTTGGTGGGCTGGTTGGTTGCTTGGTTGGTTGCTTGGTTGGTGGGCTGGTTGGTTGGTTCGCTGGTTGGTTGGTGGGCTGGTGGGCTGGTGGGCTGGTTGGTTGGTTGGTTGGTTGGTTGGTTGGTTGGTTGGTTGGTTGGTTGGTTGGTTGGTTGGTTGGTTGGTTGGTTGGTTGGTTGGTTGGTTGGTTGGTTGGTTGGTTGGTTGGTTGGTTGGTTGGTTGGTTGGTTGGTTGGTTGTTTTGTTGGTTGTTTTGTTGGTTGGTTGGTTGGTTGGTTGGTTGGTTGGTTGGTTGGTTGGTTGGTTGGTTGGTTGGTTGGTTGGTTGGTTGGTTGGTTGGTTGGTTGGTTGGTTGGTGGGCTGTTGGTGGGCTGGTTGTTGGTTGGTGGGCTTGGTTGGTTGCTTGGGTTGTTGACTGTGGGTATTTTTTTTTTTTTTGTTTTTATTTTGGGGGTATTGTTGGGGCCCTTGGGCGTTGGTTGGTTGGTGGTTGGTTGGTTGGTTGGTTGGTTGGTTGGTTGGTTGGTTGGTTTGTTGTTTGGTTGGTTGGTTGGTTGGTTGGTTGGTTGGTTGGTTGGTTGGTTGGTTGGTTGGTTGGTTGGTTGGTTGGTTGGTTGGTTGGTTGGTTGGTTGGTTGGTTGGTTGGTTGGTGGTGTTGGTTGGTTGGTTGGTTGGTTGGTTGGTTGGTTGGTTGGTTGGTTGGTTGGTTGGTTGGTTGGTTGGTTGGTTGGTTGGTTGGTTGGTTGGTTGGTTGGTTGATTCTTTGCGTATAGCCCCAAGTATCCAAGTCAGGATCAGGGTAGCTAGATTGCTGGGTTGTCGTGATTGTTGCACCAAGTCGCTAGCAAGGCACAGAAAAAGAAAACCCCGCCCGGAAGGATCACTCGATGACCCCTGTTCACAAAAGTGGAAAGGACCCTGATTGGAAAGAGTCTCAGTTTCCTCCGGTTCCCTTTGAAACTTTCGGTGGCAGTTTCTATGCGCAGGGCGTCAAGAAGTCTACCATTTTCTGTGCAATGATATGGACGCATCCTGCCAACCGCAGATTGGCCCGTGCCGGCCTCATCGCTCATAACATTCCGATGTGCAAGTGCACCATGTAGAAAAGTTGCAGGCTGCAACTTGAGGAAACTCCGTGAAAGTGACGCTTTCATTGTTGCCGATTTGAGGCCCGGCAAGGGCCAAAGTGCTGCCACTTGTTTGCGAGTGCCAGCGTGACCGGTTCGACTGCAACTTTTCTTCTGGCTTCCTGCTACAGATTTGAACTGCAGCCATCTGACTCGGATGAATTGAAGTGCTGCAGCCCTTGAATGGAAAGATGCAAAAGCTGCGAATGTCGCGCAGAGAGCCAGCTGTGTCGCGGTCACGAAGCTGCAAAACAAGCCAAGTAGACAACCGATTAAAATAGAATAAAAATGTGAACCCCGGTCAACATGTATGTGAATGAGAGCATGCGAAAGTCTGTCTTGACCATCTGTCTGGGTAAATCGCAAACATGGAGTCCCTAGGTGTGGCACGTCCTTTTCTGCCATGAGCACCGCATCATGTTTCTCCTCATCGCTCGGTGAAACACGCTGGCTCAATCTTTTGCAGGGTGAGAAACACAAGGCGCTCTTCAGAAGGGAAGCTGAAAGTCGTCGCACTTCTTCCCCTTCGTTGGAGCCACCATGCTGCGGAGAGTTGCCCAGTTGCCGATGGCTGCACGCAACACCGCCAACAGAACTGCCAGCTGCATGATGGTTCTGAAGACTGAGGTGGACCGTTTCTTGGTCTCCTGCACGTGCAGCACTTCCTGAGAACTCCACACGATCTCCTTCGGCAAGCTGTCCTCCTCCTCCGCAGCCGTGGAAGCAAGCTCCGATCGAGTCTCCGGCTCCACAGACACTTTCTTGTTTGCCCAGTGGGAGGGTGTCAAAGTCTTGGCTTCCAGGATGTGTGGGTACGGGCACTCGTTCGGAAAGGCGTAGTGGAGCCATTCCGAAAACAGCCGTCCATGCAAAGGCACCCCGCCACCATTCTGGTCAGCAATGCTCTTCAACCGCTGGGCCATGAAAACCGGCAGCTGCCTTGGAGTGTCCACCGTGGATGAAGACATGTTTCCCACCAGCCGCAGCAAATGCATGGGATCCACCGTGGGAGCTCCAATCTTTGCCTCCAACTCATTCAACAAGCCATCGCACTCACTGAGACAGCAAATCGAGTAGTACGTCGATGAGGCAATGCAATTCGAGGGTCCTTGCAGGTAGTTTGAAATGCGCACCTTCTTCTCTGATCCACTCTCGTCCAGTGCCCCAATGTCCTGCAAGTACTGCAGGGACTCAGTGAACTGATACTTGGTGTTATCAGAGCGGCCATAGAACTTCCCGATGGGAATGCGGCCGTCACCATCACTGTCCAGCTCCATCAAGTCATCCTTCATCTGCCGACACTCCGTGTTCTGCCACTTCCCGTAGCCGTGGGCAAGCTCTTCCACAATGTCAGAGCTGTCCTGGCAGTGTGGCAGCGTGCTCCACTCTTCTCTCCTCCCCCATCTCCGCTCCCCTTTCTTAAGCAAAGAAACATCCCATCAACGCCGGGATGCGCCAGTGGTGCTACACAAATCTCTTTGGAAGCGCAAACCTGAAAAATAAAGCGCCCGCCTGGAAGGTATAGAGTGGCTCCACAAATGGATTGGAGCGGGACTGCTTGGCAAAGTCATGGTTCAGCACGGCATCTCTCTGGAATTCGTCAACCACGAGCCAATCATCCCTCTGGGACACCCGCGCCTTCAATGCACGGTGAAGCCTTGCATCAGTGAGGTTGCCCTTGTTTCCCAGCTGGAAAAGCAGGAGGTAAGAGGTGAGGACGTCGTGAACGCTCTTCTGCTCTACTGAGCCATCCATACTCACACCGTTGAAGTTGTAGGCAGCTTGAAGGAGGGTCGAGGACTCGTCAAAGATCAAGCGCTCTAGAGTGGCAATCATGGTGACGACATCGTTCAAGGCCAGCCCATGATTGGATCGTCTTGCCTCCAACAGCGACTCGACCAGCGCGGGAGCCTTGTCTTGCAAGATGCTTGCGTCCTGCACGTCCGACACTTCATCCTGGTTGCCGTGCGGGTCCAAGCCCTTGATCAGCCAGCCGTGCTCCTTCATGAAGTAGCTGTGCACAAGGTATCGCACACCACGCGGAGCCAAACGCCCCACTTCGTTCTTGGGCAAGGCCTGGAAGGTCTGCCACACACGCGCCTCAATGTTGGCCACGCGCTTGGACGCAGAATCCCCACGTAGCACCGCCTCCATGGCATCTTGCAAGTCCGCCTGGACATCCTTTACCGCAATGGTTCGCCCCTCCTCCCGGCCGCGAATGCTGCCAGCTTCAGCCGACAACAGGACCAGGCTGACCACCACAGCGAACATGGTAAAAACGGAGGATCGTAAAGAACCGACGAGAATGTAGAACTTGTTACGGTCTTTTGACCGCAAAAGAGAGACCTGCTTAGGCTCGAGCTGGAAAACCAAGGCGTAAATCGTGTAAACAGCAAGCTTGCGCCAAAACGGGCAACTGTTTCGTGTCACTTGCACTGGACACAGCAAAGGCGGCCAGGCAATTCTACCCACTAAAAATATATGCATCCCTTCTGCTTGTGCACATGCTGGCCACAATCCGATTTTCTCCGCTTTCGGTGCACGATGGCTCAATCTTTTGCAGGGTGAGAAACACAAGGCGCTCTTCAGAAGGGAAGCTGAAAGTCGTCGCACTTCTTCCCCTTCGTTGGAGCCACCATGCTGCGGAGAGTTGCCCAGTTGCCGATGGCTGCACGCAACACCGCCAACAGAACTGCCAGCTGCATGATGGTTCTGAAGACTGAGGTGGACCGTTTCTTGGTCTCCTGCACGTGCAGCACTTCCTGAGAACTCCACACGATCTCCTTCGGCAAGCTGTCCTCCTCCTCCGCAGCCGTGGAAGCAAGCTCCGATCGAGTCTCCGGCTCCACAGACACTTTCTTGTTTGCCCAGTGGGAGGGTGTCAAAGTCTTGGCTTCCACATGTGAAGGGTACGGCACTCGTTTCGGAAAAGGCGTAGTGGAGCCATTCACGAAAGAACACCCGACCATGCAAAGGCAACGCCCCGCCACCATTCCTCTGTAGGATGTCTTCAACCAGCTGGGCATGCAAACGCGCTGCCTAGGAGTGTCCACCTTGGATGAAGACAGTGATTTCCCACCAGTCCCGCAGCAAATGCATGGATCCACCCGTGGAGCCAATCTTTGCCCTCCAACTCATTCACAAGCCAATCGCACTCACTGAGACAGCAAAATCGAGTAATTACGTCGATGAGAGCAATGGCAATTCGAGGGCCTTGCATGTAATTTGAAATCGCACACTTCTTCTCTGATCCCTCTCTCCAGTGCCCCCATGTTCCTGCAAGTACTGCAGGTACACGGTGAACTGATACTTGGTGTTATCAGAGCGGCCATAGAACTTCCCGATGGGAATGCGGCCGTCACCATCACTGTCCAGCTCCATCAAGTCATCCTTCATCTGCCGACACTCCGTGTTCTGCCACTTTCCGTAGCCGTGGGCAAGCTCTTCCACAATGTCAGAGCTGTCCTGGCAGTGTGGCAGCGTGCTCCACTCTTCTCTCCTCCCCCATCTCCGCTCCCCTTTTTTAAGCAATGAAACATCCCATCAACGCCGGGATGCGCCAGTTGTGCTACACAAATCTCTTTGGAACCGCAAACTTGAAATAAACGGCGCCCGCCTGGAAGGTATAGAGTGGCTCCACAAATGGATTGGAGCGGGACTGCTTGGCAAAGTCATGGTTCAGCACTGCATCCCTCTGGAACTCGTCAACCACGAGCCAATCATCCCTCTGGGACACCCGCGCCTTCAATGCACGGTGAAGCCTTGCATCAGTGAGGTTGCCCTTGTTTCCCAGCTGGAAAAGCAGGAGGTAAGAGGTGAGGACGTCGTGAACGCTCTTCTGCTCTACTGAGCCATCCATGCTCACACCGTTGAAGTTGTAGGCAGCTTGAAGGAGGGTCAAGGACTCGTCAAAGATCAAGCGCTCTAGAGTGGCAATCATGGTGATGACATCGTTCAAGGCCAGCCCATGATTGGATCGTCTTGCCTCCAACAGCGACTCGACCAGCGCGGGAGCCTTGTCTTGCAAGATGCTTGCGTCCTGCACGTCCGACACTTCATCCTGGTTGCCGTGCGGGTCCAAGCCCTTGATCAGCCAGCCGTGCTCCTTCATGAAGTAGCTGTGCACAAGGTATCGCACACCACGCGGAGCCAAACGCCCCACTTCGTTCTTGGGCAAGGCCTGGAATGTCTGCCACACACGCGCCTCAATGTTGGCCACGCGCTTGGACGCAGAATCCCCACGTAGCACGGCCTCCATGGCATCTTGTAAGTCCGCCTGGACATCCTTTACCGCAATGGTTCGCCCCTCCTCCCGGCCGCGAATGCTGCCAGCTTCAGCCGACAACAGGACCAGGCTGACCACCACAGCGAACATGGTAAAAACGGAGGATCGTAAAGAACCGACGAGAATGTAGAACTTGTTACGGTCTTTTGACCGCAAAAGAGAGACCTGCTTAGGCTCGAGCTGGAAAACCAAGGCGTAAATCGTGCAAAAAGCAAGCTTGCGCCAAAACGGGCAACTGTTTCGTGTCACTTGCACTGGACACAGCAAAGGCAGCCAGGCAATTCTACCCACTAAAAATATATGCATCCCTTCTGCTTGTGCACATGCTGGCCACAATCCGATTTCTCCGCTTTCGGTGCACGATGGCTCAATCTTTGCAGGGTGAGAAACACAAGGCGCTCTTCAGAAGGGAAGCTGAAAGTCGTCGCACTTCTTCCCCTTCGTTGGAGCCACCATGCTGCGGAGAGTTGCCCAGTTGCCGATGGCTGCACGCAACACCGCCAACAGAACTGCCAGCTGCATGATGGTTCTGAAGACTGAGGTGGACCGTTTCTTGGTCTCCTGCACGTGCAGCACTTCCTGAGAACTCCACACGATCTCCTTCGGCAAGCTGTCCTCCTCCTCCGCAGCCGTGGAAGCAAGCTCCGATCGAGTCTCCGGCTCCACAGACACTTTCTTGTTTGCCCAGTGGGAGGGTGTCAAAGTCTTGGCTTCCAGGATGTGTGGGTACGGGCACTCGTTCGGAAAGGCGTAGTGGAGCCATTCCGAAAACAGCCGTCCATGCAAAGGCACCCCGCCACCATTCTGGTCAGCAATGCTCTTCAACCGCTGGGCCATGAAAACCGGCAGCTGCCTTGGAGTGTCCACCGTGGATGAAGACATGTTTCCCACCAGCCGCAGCAAATGCATGGGATCCACCGTGGGAGCTCCAATCTTTGCCTCCAACTCATTCAACAAGCCATCGCACTCACTGAGACAGCAAATCGAGTAGTACGTCGATGAGGCAATGCAATTCGAGGGTCCTTGCAGGTAGTTTGAAATGCGCACCTTCTTCTCTGATCCGGTACCATCGTAACCAGTGCCCCAATGTCCTGCAAGTCTGCAGGGACGTCGGTGAACTGATACATGGTGTTATCAAAAAAACGACAACACACAACACAACACAACAATCGACACATATCACAAAATCCACCAACCAAGAACAAAAAACAAAAAAAACAAGAAAAAAAAAAAAAAATATACAAAAAAACAAAAAAAAAAAAAATAAAAAAAAAAGCGGAAAATAGGGTAAAATAAGACACAAAGACCGTAGAACTGTCCCCGATGGAATGCGGCCGTCACCATTCACTTCCAGGCTCCATCTAGTCATCCTTCAATCCTGCCGACACCCGGTTTCTGCCACTAAAAACCAATTCCCGTAGCCGTCGCAAGCTCTTCCACAATGTCAGAGCTTCCTTGCAGTGGGCAGCGTGCCCCACACTCTGCTCCTCCCCCATCTCCGCTCCCCTTTCTTAAGCCCAATGAAACTTCCCACTAACGCCGGGATGCGCCAGTGGTGCTACACAAATCTCTTTGGAACCGCAAACTTGAAAAATAAAGCGCCCGCCTGGAAGGTATAGAGTGGCTCCACAAATGGATTGGAGCGGGACTGCTTGGCAAAGTCATGGTTCAGCACGGCATCCCTCTGGAACTCGTCAACCACGAGCCAATCATCCCTCTGGGACACCCGCGCCTTCAATGCACGGTGAAGCCTTGCATCAGTGAGGTTGCCCTTGTTTCCCAGCTGGAAAAGCAGGAGGTAAGAGGTGAGGACGTCGTGAACGCTCTTCTGCTCTACTGAGCCATCCATGCTCACACCGTTGAAGTTGTAGGCAGCTTGAAGGAGAGTGAAGGACTCGTCAAAGATCAAGCGCTCTAGAGTGGCAATCATGGTGATGACATCGTTCAAGGCCAGCCCATGATTGGATCGTCTTGCCTCCAACAGCGACTCGACCAGCGCGGGAGCCTTGTCTTGCAAGATGCTTGCGTCCTGCACGTCCGACACTTCATCCTGGTTGCCGTGCGGGTCCAAGCCCTTGATCAGCCAGCCGTGCTCCTTCATGAAGTAGCTGTGCACAAGGTATCGCACACCACGCGGAGCCAAACGCCCCACTTCGTTCTTGGGCAAGGCCTGGAATGTCTGCCACACACGCGCCTCAATGTTGGCCACGCGCTTGGACGCAGAATCCCCACGTAGCACGGCCTCCATGGCATCTTGTAAGTCCGCCTGGACATCCTTTACCGCAATGGTTCGCCCCTCCTCCCGGCCGCGAATGCTGCCAGCTTCAGCCGACAACAGGACCAGGCTGACCACCACAGCGAACATGGTAAAAACGGAGGATCGTAAAGAACCGACGAGAATGTAGAACTTGTTACGGTCTTTTGACCGCAAAAGAGAGACCTGCTTAGGCTCGAGCTGGAAAACCAAGGCGTAAATCGTGTAAAAAGCAAGCTTGCGCCAAAACGGGCAACTGTTTCGTGTCACTTGCACTTGACACAGGCGACCATGAAACTCTACGCATGTGGGCTCGAGCGCCTCCCGACCGCATGGACCCGAGGTCTCATCTGGACAAGCATTCATTGCAACGGCGGTAGAAGCTTCACTAAAATTAATAAATGCCAAACCAGGGGGGGCCCAAGAATGGGTGGTTCCTTCTGGCGTCCCTTTAAAACAACCCCAACAAGCGAACGCACACCCACATGGACACAGGCCCTTGCCCCAGTTGCGAGCATGCAGAGCTGATGTGTTCAGGCCATCCAACCGCGCCCATCCGGCGAAAACGGCATCTCATACGTAGGCTAAAAATTGCAAAACATGTTCCATGTCTGGCTCTGTTTTTCAGGTTCCAGTCTTGTTGCAGGTGCAAATCTACTACCCTCCCTCCCTCCCTCCAGCAAATCATGGAAGCTGACGATCGGAGGGTTTTGGAAGACTACTTTCATTTTGAGGAAGCCCAGGATCGTCCACTTCCATCATTGTTGGACAGAGGGTACACAACCCTGATCCCGAACTATCCACATGGAAGTTGGAATGCCATGCGCAGTCGTTTTTGGCCCGTGGCCTCACTCGCTCACTCCTGCGGCAGGCCGCTATTGGGCGCCTGTGCGTTGGAAGTCTGAGGGAGGCAGTCTCTCATTACGGGGAGGGAGGGAGGAAGGGAGGGGAGGGGAGGGGAGGAGGGGGGGGAGGGGGAGGGCGACGTGGAGGGGGGAGGGGAGGGGAGGGGAGGGGAGGGGAGGGGAGGGGAGGGGAAGGGGAAGGGAGGGGAGGGGAAAAAGGAAATAAATAAACAAGCACGAACAGAATTGGAAGGAAAGGGAAAAAAGGGCAAGTATGGGAAAGAAAGACAGAGAAGAAGAAGAAGAAGAAGAAGACGAAAAAGAAGGAGGAGGAGGAGGAGGAGGAGGAGGAGAGAAGGAGAAGCAGCAGAGAAGACGACGACGAGAGAGAGAGAAGAGAGGGAGAGAGGCAGAGGAATACAAGAAAGAAAGCAAGAAAGAAAAAAAAGGGAAGGGAAGGGAAGGGAAGGGCAGGGAAGGGAAGGGAAGGGAAGGGAAGGGAAGGGAAGGGAAGGGAAGGGAAGGGAAGAAGGAAAGGAAAGGAAGACAGGAATAAAGAAATAATGAAAGAAAAACAGGGAGAGGAAGAGGGGAAGAGAGAAAACAAAGAAGCAACAAGGCCTGAAACAGGCAACAACAGCAAGAAAGAAAAGAAAGAAAGCAAAACCCAAGAACAAACCAACAACCTGGCTGAAATCCATGGGTCCGCGCCATGCCCGGTGTGCCTGCGCAGCCTCCGGACTTCTGTCCGCGCCTGGCAGTTTCAATCAGTGGCCACAATGGAGCTGGCCACTTCTGCTGGCCAAGGAAAACCCCGCAATGTACGTGTCCCAATGGGAAATTCGCTGTGTTTCAGCTCAAGCTCCAAGGAGAGTGTGACTCACACTTCGATAAACAAGCGTGGAACCTGACCTTGCAAAAGAAAATGTCAGTGGGCGACTATGAGGTCCCTCCTTTGAGAGGAAGCTTCCCCATGGAAGACTTGAAGGAAGGTCCTCCCAACCGGAGGGAGTAGAAGGACGCATGTGGGGCCCCTACAACACGACGTGGTGAACCTAAAAAGATTCGCAAGTGATTTCTGCTGTCCCCACATGCCTTGGGATGGCCATAGCACGTCCGTCGCCACGTGACAGCGGGAAACATGTCCCGTGAGGAGCTTCATGGCTTTCCCTCCATTTCCCCCTGAAGTGGAATCGCTCCAAGCAAAACTTGCCGGTGCCCAGTCGGGAATGACCATTCCGGGTCTTGGGAACGAACCGGAAGTGGCTTCCCTCAGAGGAAAACAACACAAGGATCGTTCTTCTTGGGGTCATTCATGGTCATTCCCTTCATTCCCTGCCTAGATTTGTTTAAAAAAAGAAAAAGAAGAAAAACAACGACAAGGCCAAATCGTCTCAGCCGATCCCGGCCGCGCCCTGGCGCAGCGGCACGCTGCCCGAGGCCGCGATGATCTGTGCCTCACCATGCGCGCGCTCAGGCGGCGGTGAAGCAGCCCCAGGGTTTTTGACCCAGGCGGTTCATGCGACAAGTTGTCTGAGCCGACAAGAGTTCACCCCCCACTTTTGGGCACTGAAATTGAGAAGTGGTTCTGATGTCCGTGGGAAGGACACATGCTCACTGGTGTGTCTACAGGCGCAGTTTCCGCTGGCTTGCGCTGGAAGACGCCCACCGGCCAAATGCATGTAGCTCTTCAAGACTCCGCCAAACGGGGAGTCCGCATTTGGCAGCTGAATGTTTGCATGCCTTACCCTCTCAGGCTGCCGCTTCCTCACAAGGCTCGCCCAGTGTCTCGACAGACTCCTGGAGTGGAAATCGACAGAACAAATGCTGCTCCAAATGGACAATCCGCTCCGGGGCAGGGTAAAGCGGGCAAACGTAGGGCAAATGTAGGGTCAAACAAACCTCTCTATTAATGTTGACCCAGGAATAGAAAGCTAACAGCAAACTCCTTTGCCGATGTCGTTCTGTTGCTTCTCAACCTGTCCCTACGA